TCACTATTTGCTGTGCTGACACCAAACCAAAACATGAGAAGTGGCAGCCAGTCTTCTGGGAGTCAGAGAAAGCCTCCTCCCACTGCCTACTACCTAATCTGGATGTACTAACAACAACAAATCATTTAACCATCTGTGGGCTCTTACACAGTCAAGCATTATAGTATATAGTGATCTCTGGCTGTGAACAGCAAATTTGCAACACAAATAGTTCTATTAATATTGTAGGAACATTAAGAAATAACAGCGAACTGCATGCAACAAAGAGGGGAAAATCCCACTCTGCAGAAAATAAGCTGGTACGGATATGAGCACATCAAGGTCAAACACTGCGTTTGTGACAAGTTAAGTCAAAAAGAGAATTGTTTAGTCTGCTTTCCTGGTACTTAGGCATTTCAGTCTAAAGCAGTCATTTTGGCAATCCACAGAAGCAAGAGCACACACCCATCTTCTGTATTTGCCAACTAAACTCTATCCCATATTGTGCAAGAGCTTGTTGGGGCAAGCAAACCAGCTATCAGCTATTTTGTCTAAATGATCCTCAGCTTTTGCATAACAAAACAGTTTCTGCACTGAAGACATATTACAAAAGATGAACCTTAAATATATGTTTTGGCTAAAACAGGAAGATTATTTTAAAAAATGAGTCCAGACAGTAGGATGAGGCTGCTGTCCTGTAGGAGAAAAATCAATTTGCAGCAAGAGATCGAGGCATGCCTGGGCACAGTAGGCGTAATGTTACTGTTGGCCAAAACGAAATGGCACAAATGAAAAGATGACCTTGTGTAATATTTTGCTCTTCCAAACCAAAATTCCAGTTGATTTAAAGCCAAGCAAACAGATCCAAACAGCCTTCAAAAATCACGTGGGAGGATGAAAAGGCGAGTTTGAGAAAACAAACAGTTGGCAAGTAAATTAAAAAAACGTGACACAAAAGTGATAAAACGTACCGTCTGAGCATCGCTTTTGGACGTCTCCATTTGAGGAGAAGTGAACGCACCAAAGTCCTGCAAAAGAAAAATATCTGTGTGTCAAGGTTAAATCAAATTTCATGAGCGTCTTAACAAGTTAACAAAAAGGGCTAATCAATGGAACATGCTGAAAAAAGCAACATTTTCACTGCTTTGAGAGTTTAAATGTTGAAAAAAAAAACATGGAAACAAAATACATAGGTTTCACTTCTGCAAGAAAATGCAAAACATAGCATGCTTCTTTCCCCATTTCAAACGGGTAGGTGCAACATTCCACACTGGGAAAAAAAACATGTGACGCATTGTGGGGGGAAAGTGGTTACTTCATTACAAAGGAATAAAAAAAACAGTGGTTGTGAATCTTCAGTTGTTTTTAATGCAAACAAACAAACAAAACAAAAAAAAAACTAAAAAAAACGACTTTACTATAATGAAGTTAGAGAAACCTGATAGCCATGGTAATTTAAAAAGTGTGAACCATCATTCAGGAAATTGCAACCCGTTTTGGAGTTTTTCCACAGCTGCATATGAAAATGCACAGTTACCAACAAACTGTTGCCTAGGTGTGTGAGTTAACAGTAAAGTGTCTATTTATGCAATATCACGTTAACCGTACCATTTGTAAACAAAAAGGGTTGTGGAAAACTAAACATACAATGGAAACTATAATGATCAGTGCTAGTTTTATTTCTGAGTATAGAACATATTTTCAGTTATTTTTTTCTAAATAGTAAACATTTGTTTTGCTTAAAAGGGGAAATCACATAACAAATAACCTGCAGAATCTGGCGTTAGAATGTAAACAATTGCATCTAAGGGTGTTGCCTTCAATGGCATCCCGTTAAAACCGATGTTACTGCGCCTGCTGATAAAATAAGTCAATAAAAAGTCCAAACAAGTGACACTGTTTATAGAAAACGACCCAGACTCGTTGCGTGGATTGAGAAAGGGGGTAAAATGACATATTTATTGACTTTTAGCAAACGAATGAACTTGGAAGTTGTAACTAACCTAAAAGGAACCACCACTCATGCACGCGCTCATACGAGAGGCAAGATGCAGAAAATGAAAACGGCTAAAATCGTCAGTTTTTTTTCGTCACAATTCTTCAAACAGTTCACCTACGAGGCAATTTATAAAAAGTCACAGTAAGAAGCCAAATTGGGCACTACTTCACCAACTCACTGGCATGTTAATCCGGAGACTTTTCTTCCTTTTTGGCATTTTCTTTGAGCTGTCCTTGCTGGACTCCATCACCGTGCTTCCCATATTTGTATTTTCTCTCTAAACGAGCAAAGCGGACAGCCGTGATAAAGTAATTGCTCACGACAACAGAGCCCCCACATTCGGTTTAACAGCCCCTCTCCTACTGTTACTACGACACCGAGCGAAGAGCAGTTTCAGACACCAGGAAGTAGGCTTGGTTCTGAAAAACAGACAGGGCACACCTCCTTGCGTGAGCTTCAAATTGTTTACAGGTGCACTGCTGCAGTCTGTCACCCTGAGAAATCTGGTTGCGTGTCGTGCTTCCGGGTCTCATCCCAGCGTCTCCAGAGAACACGTGAAGCATCTTCTCGCTTTTTTTTTTACAACACCGTAGACACAAATAAACATGTTCATAACATTTTCAGTTCACTCACGTCTGTAGCCTGTCTGTGGCTGTTTGAAAGTTGCATTATTATCGTAAATTAGCATAATATGCATTTTAAACTAATGGTAATAAGTATAGATCACGCCCTTTTATATTTTCTAATTCTGAAAAAAAAAACATACTTTCTTTTTGCATCTATTACTTTCCAAGGAGGAAGAATGACAAAAGGCAAAACCGCGGACATTCTGGTAGGAAATAAAGTTTATGGAGTAACAAGTTTTGGCACAACACCGCCCAGGTCTAACATAAACACCCCAACACCCCCCCCCCCCCCCCCCCCCGCGCCAATGGATGTCAGTATGACTTAGATCGTTACCGTAAAGATGTTTACACATAAATATAATGAAAACAGGTGTGAACAAGCAATATCAATAATTTTATTTATTGTAAACATCATTAAATGCATTTTAACAAGATAAACTTATGATAGACAGAGTAAACATTTATTGTTTCAATAATTTGTAGAATAATAGTTTTTGCTTTGTTAATGAAGTTATAAACTATGACTTTAGAAGTGATACACCCTTATTCAAATCTTTTTTTTTTGTTTTGTTTTTTTCATTGCTGCCCAAGGGCCAACATTGATGGACATTTTATCCATCTGAAAAGAAACCAAATAGAAACGAAACATTTTAAATAATCAATTTAAAACTGATCTGAACCTGAAAACGTTATTCAGTCAACTGTTGCTAAGAGCCATTGCAGGAACAATCTGAGAACTTCACATTTTTGGAAAAACACTTATTATTTTAATATCTAAGACAGTTTTATGACATCTGCTGCAGACGAACGGTGAAATAGGACTTCCATGGATCATTGGGCCACTTTCTTCTGTTAATCATCTGTTTGTGAGGACTGTACGTGCTCTCCAGCTCTGTGCCCATTAGCTCCACACACAACAAACTGCTATTCTCTTAGTTCTGCCACATTCCTGACTCCTACATTTTCATTTATTTGAATCACTCATTTTGCAGGACAGCTTGTTCCGTTGATGTTTGATGCAACTCACCTACCAACTGCTTTTGTAGCAAAGAAGAAAAAAAAAAAGAAAAAAACACTACTTGCTTGATCCAAATACAGAAGTGAATTTCCCAACTGTGGGATTAATAAAGTCTATTCTATTCAGTTCTATTCTATTTTACACGACATCTTTTTATTTATATATTTTCATAAATAATTTGCATATTTCTTTGATTCACAATTTAGAATTAAATCAGGTCTGAACTCTGGATTAACCAGTTTATTTTCATCCTTTTCCATACAGATTTTTGCATGTTTAGGATTAGTGTCTTATTTAGGAAGTCCTTGTGGAATGTTTCTGCAGACTATTTTGTGCTTTCTTCCATAATTTCATTATGACCACCTTTGAAAAGGTAGTCCAGATGAAAATAAATAAATAAATAAATAAAATTACAAGTATTACAGTTATTGGGCAGAATGTGGTAATGTTGGTTAATCTCTATTCCAGTTCCATTAAAGTCGTCAAACAACAGAATAAGCCTACATTTGTGTCCACGTGAGCGTTTTCTTTATCAACAACAGATGAACATATTTTCCTGTGCATGATGTCTGAACCATATGCCATTATAATTAGAAAGATCCTTTTAAAGGTTTGGTAACTTTTAACCTCACACCCTTTGCATGTTAAACAAAAAATCTCCATTTAAACCTGATGAAGTTTTTGTTTAGAAAATGTTGAGTTTTCCAGCACTTTTTATCCCTTAACCTATAAAAAAGCAGATAACGTGGACTCATCAAGTTTAGGTCTGATGTGATAAAATTATTTTTTAATGGGCATGATTAATTTGTAACACTGCTTGAATAAATAATACTTTTTTATTATGCTTTAAGGTCGAAAAGAAAACTGTTTTCGGTAACACTTTACAATAAAGGACCCTTTATTTAAAGAGCAAGTCACCCCCTACCAGAGTCTCACTCTACTCCCACTTCCTGTTTGAAAAATGCAACAAATACTGTTGCCTGTCAGGCCGAGAGGGCGGAGCCACTAACAAATACACACACAGGCTCACAAGGACATGGTGACATCATAATGTTCCAGCTAACATCATAGTGTACCTCTTAGCCAATAGCGATTGCAAATTTAAATTCTAATGCAGTGCAGAATTTTTACCTGAAGACGGTGTAACACTGATAGTTTTAGGCAGAATATTTAAATTTGAACTAAGATGCATTAAAGAACCAAATGTGTGTCTACAGTACAATTACATGCTCATTTATAGTTTATCAAAAAAATCAGTTGAGTTGGGGGTGACTAGCTCTTTAACTTATTTAGTAGCCACATATATGGGGACCCTAATTGTAAAGTGGTACCAATTCCTTCCTATATAAGAGAACTTGTGCTAAAACACACAACTTACTAACATGTAAAATAGTTTATTTTTGTAAATGTTTCTAAATTCAACTCCACAAACTCCAAACCTCATACTCTGTACATTTCAAAAGGCATTTTCAAAAATAAACAGAAAAAAAAACAGGGAGAAGGAATACAAGAAAAGTAATCCGACTACTTTACACGACCAAGAAAATGTAGCACAAACACACTGGCAGGAAGATGTATCGTACAAGAGAAGAAAAATATCCAAGAAACAATTTTGTTACAACCATTCATTGAGAAAATATATACAATTGAGTCTTCGGAAAGTTTAAAAAAATACATGCCATATACATTACAAGTTCTAAGACTGTCTGCAAAATGTTACAGTCCACTTGAAATTGTGCACGCAAAAACTCTGGAGTTTCTAAGCAACGTGACTTGTGAAGTGTCAGTATAGGAAATATTTTTGATTAAGCAGAATGCCATTTCTGAACCACCTACAGTTTCACATACAATTCTTTCTGTCGCACACGGGTTCATCTAGTACATAATTAGATGTTTTGCACCTTTTTTGTGAAAAATAAATGTGGAAAACAAAAACAAAACAGGTTGCTGTTCTTGTTTAAAATACAAAGTTTAAAAAGTTTGTTTTTGGGTTTCAAAATCTAATTCACAGTTCTTTAAAATCAAACCTGAAGAACAGCACGCAGACCTCTCAGCATCTAAGAGTCCTTTTTAGTCGTATTCTGTAACCGTTGTTAGTCAACAAAAATAGTTCATTTGAGTGGTCAGAGTATGTGTCAGTCACAAAAAACACTACGCTACAATACCTTACTTTTAATACAACAAAAATACTTTGTGTGAATTATTGTGGTTATATTACAAATTCTGTACAGGATAATCATAATATATACTCTCAAAAACTGAAATAACGTCCATCTTAAATAAATTTCAATGACAAATAAAAACAAAAAAAAACTGTTTTAAAAACACCAAAAACATCAAGAAGGTTAAGGTAGTATTTGGTCAGTTATTCCTATAGTTTTCTTTATGTACATTTATACAAAAGTAACAGCAATTCTTCTTCCATCTTCAAAAACAAGAGCCTTCTTTTAACTCAATCTCGTCATTTTAAAGAATAAAATTCATTCACTCAGTAATAAATACAAAAGCTCTCCAATTCCACACAAATCACATGACAGAGACCTAGGATAAAACTGACTCATGGAATCAAGTATTTAAAAGTTTTCGTGTGGTTTTTTTTTGTGTTTTTCTGTGGTTTTTTTTAGTGCAAGTTAATATTCCCTTCACGGTATTTCATTGCTGTACATTCCTCATTCAGTGATGTCTACATTTAGTCAAGCGGTATACATTAGTATATAACAAAAGGGCCTGCCCTTAGGAAGCAATAAGGCCGCACCCTGCACAGTGCTTTCTCATTCGCTGGTGGATTCTGCACCCCATGTACACCAAACAAACACGCAGATACATACAGACGGCGGGAGGCGGTGCGTAAACCGCACCCCCATATGGCACAAGTCACATCCTGCTACGGTGTTAAAACTTCCATCCCTTTTCATCTCATGATCTTGATAAACCAACCAGTAAATGCAGCGACTCTGCAAAAGGTGATTTCTTAAAAAGACTCCAGTTGTGAAGTCTGTTCATTTTCCCGTCTTCGCTCCAATGAAGGAATGCTTTTAGGTTTCTTGTTTAGCTCAGTTAATCCACTTCCTGCACTCTGCAGCTTTGCAATGGCAAGCGATCTTGTGCTGACCCTCGGCGGTGTCAAACTGATAGTCAAAACACAGCTGGAAGAGAGGCCAGAAAGATCCGTTACTGAGCATCCCCGTCACACGTTTGGGAACAAAGTCCTAAGAAAAGCGAGACACTCACCTCCTCTCTTTTCTCAACTCTTCGAATGCAGCTGATGATGATTTTGTAACCTCGTTCAAATGTTACCACCTCGGCAACGCAGTTAGGAGCACAAGAGTGATTGATATATCTAAAAACAAACAAAAAAGAAGATTTTTTTTAAAAACTAGTGATTACTGTGCTTACTTTTACCCCGGACTGAATGAAAGGCAGCAGTATATGTTTTCTGTTTACCGAGTTACACTGATATATTGAAAGTTTTACTGATTTTCGGAGTACCTTGCAAGCCCTCCACTCTGAGTGGCGTCGACGACATGCTCGCTGTCGATGCGGAACATGAACACCTCTCGGTTCTGCGAGGAGGGAACGACAAATTGCATGCTTTAAATTTTATAAAAAGCCTTAAAAAAGAAAAAAAAACATTTTAAAAGTAAAAGAGAAATACCTGAGCTCTATAAATCTTCTCCTTTCTGATGGCAACCTCATTTCGGAGGACCGTTCCGATGTACTCAATCGCCATGGTTTGCTTTTCAAGGTCTCTGGCAGCAAACAGCCCCAAGCCCTGTGGATGAATCCCAATTAGCAGAATTTCATTCTGGAAAAAGAAACCACAAGTTTCATCAATCTGTCCTGGACTCACCTGGATACGGGAGCGGCCCAGGTAGACATTTCCTCTCCACTCGCTCTTCATCCAGCGGTACTGGGAGGACCTGGGGTGGACGACGGGAGGCTTGTTGTGAGGAACGCTTCCTTCTCCTGGAGCCACATTCTGGTTAGACCTAGCACTGCTGCCGGACACCACCTGAGGCTGAGGTCTAAATTATGAAAAGAAGTAAGAAGGAAAATTGTAAAATCAACAGTATAATTTTAATATGATGGAAGCGACTGCAATATTGCGTGGACATCAGGGGCAGTTCCACAGGACTGACAGACTGGGATGGTGGTCCCACTAGTTAAAAAGGGGGATCACACTCCTGAGCCTCCCTGGTAAGGTCTATTCAGAGGTTCTGAAGAGGAGGGTCCATCAGATTGTTGAACCTCAGATTCAGGAGGAGCAATGTGGTTTTCGTCCTGGCCGTGGAACACTGGACCAGCTCTATACCCTTAGGGGGATCCTGGAGGGTGTGTGGGAGTTCGCCCAACCAATTTAAATGTGTTTTGTGGATTTGGAGAAGGCGTTTGACCGCGTCCCTCGGGGGTCCTCTGGGGGATACTTCTGGAGTATGGGGTACCAGGCCCTCTGATAAGGGCTCTTAGGTGGTGTCACAGCTTGGTCCACATTGCCGGCAGTAAGTTGGGCTTGTTTCTGGTGAGAGTTGGACTCTGTCGTGGCTGCCCTTTGTCACCGATTCTGTTCCTAACTTTTATGGACAGGATTTCTGGGCACAGCCAAGGTGTTGAGGGGATCTGTGTTCTTGGCCTGAGGATTGGGTCACTGCTTTTGCAGATGATGTGGTCCTGTTGGCTTCATCAGAACGTGATCTCTGGCTCTCACTGGAGTGGTTCGAAGCCTAGTGTGAAGCAGTTGGGATGAAAATCAGCTTCTCTAAATCCGAGACCATGGTCTTGAGTTGGAAAAGGGTAAAATGTCTTCAGGGATGAGGTCCTGTCCCAAGTGGAGGAGTTAAAGTATCTCTGGGTCTTGTTCACGAATGAGGGAAAAATAATTGAGAGGAGCCAGTTGAAGTGGATTGGGCATCTAGTTAGGATGCCTCCTGGTTGCCTCTTAGGTGAGGTTTTCTGGGCACATCCAACCGGAAGACCTCAAGGAAGACCCAGGACACCTCTCTCAGCTGGCCAGGGAACGCCTTAGGATTCCCCCAGAGGAGCTGGCCCAAGTGGCTGGGGAAAAGGGAAGTCTGGGCCTCCCTGCTTAAACTGCTGCCTCGGCGACCCGACTCCGGATAAGCGGCCGAAAATAGATGGATGGATAGAAGCGACTGCTTACCTTATGACCAGTGAGGTGCAGGAAGAGTTAGTTCTTGGCTCTGCTCGAGCACAACCAGCTGGATTGAACATGAGGGGAAGCTCCACCAGAGGGTTACGTCCATAACGGAACGAGTACCTGTCGCAGGCCTCCACACCTGGGAGCTGGAGGAAAGAAATACAGAACTTAGTTCAGAAACTGACCAATGTTTTGAGCTCTTCTAACTTTCTCAAAGGAGATACAGACCGATTCAGTGATCTTGGTGACAGCAGGGACTGTGAGCCCGAACAGATCCTCTCCTTTCAGATACACAGGAAAGAGCCTCAAAGTGGCCGTTTCGGCTCTTTTCTCAGCAACTGGGCCTAAAACCTTATCCCACACTCCTAATTCAAACAACAAATGCACACAAGGTGGTTAAAAATCTAGAAAAAGCAGCTAGAAAACCATAAAAACAAATTTTCTTTCTTTTTTAAAGGATCACCTTTAGGAGAGGTGTCTGTCAGAACCAGGTCTTGGTAGCCCTGTTCAATGACTCTGATGGTGAACTCTGGAAGCCCGTCTCCATCTTCAACAGAACAGACGTAGCGACAACGGTGGCTGACGTGGCGCATGCTCCAGTAAATGCGACAGGCCTCGTAGCCGACTGGAAAGATGGCAGATGGCGAATGGAAGGCTAGCATTTGTTCTGGAGTTAGCTGGCCGATTGCATGCAACACCAGGCTTCCCACCCGGAATGTATAACCCAACTCAGACTGCTGCACTGCAGTGGCAATCTGACGCACTTCATCTCTTTGAACATAGACGCGCCGGAACACGGCGAAGCAACGCAGCTCGTGCTCCAACACGTGCCCCGCTGTCCCTCGAGGCCGGTGGGCATGACACAGCATGGTTTTGTCCTTGAAGAAGGTGCACTGTGCTTGCAGAGCACAGGTGAAATGGTAGATGTTGGTACAGCGCAGGCGGTGGCAGCCGCTGGTGGCGCCGGTCTGCTGACAATAGGCACAGCGTATCGTTTGACCACGACGCAGCGCCAGCTCCACGTTGATGAGGGCGCCTGCTTGAGTCTCGTACACTTCAGTTGACCACAGAGCGCAGTTTAGATGAACCCATGCATCAAGGTCCAGATTTAGCAGCCTAGCAGGACCATCTGTGACCCCGTCTCCAAACTGGTGGCAGAAACTGCAGCGCCTCTTGTCTCTAAGCAGCGGTGGAGGGCGCAGCGACGCACCAAGTTTCTTCAACAGCTCGTCAATTTCATCTTCTCCTGGAAGCTGGGAATTTGCTCTTGGCATCATCACCTGAATGGTCCACTTCCTCCAGCGGAGTCCTTTCTGTCTCTTTCCCTGGTGCCAACCATCATGGGACCTTGGCCGAGACTTCAGCTTCACCGTGACTTTGAGGGCATCAGATTTGGCCTCGGTCTTGGGCGCCTCACCCGCTATAGGGAACGGGATGGGAGGGGTGGACGGGGGAGACTGTTTGGGCTGAAGCTGGGCCAGGCAGTGGACACCCATGGAGGACATGTTGTTATTGTATGGGTGTTGAGTCTTACAAAGGTTCTCTGTTTGCTCAGCCGCCTGGAGAAGGGCCATGGATTCCTAAGAGATGGGATAAAACAATACAGTCATTAGGCTTGTGTGGTCTGTTGCCTCTGTGTGGGTCACAAAGAAACACACCTTTGTTTCTGCTGAAGGTTTGGATTGCAGCGGTGATGACGAGCAATAGAGAAGACAACAGCTGTGACTGCAGAAGACCAGGTTGTCATCAGATCTAAAACGACCTTTGAACTCCTAAAGAGGAATGAGACGCATGAATACATGAACAGATCTAGAGCTAAACATAGATAAGGTGTTACTGCATCTGGAGTAAATCATCCCGTTTCAGCTCATGTGCACTCCCAAAGGGAAATCAATAATAACATTTTAAAAACTATGCTGGAAAAAAAAAGATCTGAAATAGGATCTGATTATTTTTGAAGATGCTTTGGATGTAGAGCTTTTCAATTATGATCAGAGAAAAAAAATCTCGATTATTTATATGTTGCTGCTGGTTTCTAAGTAAAAAGTCTTTAGATCCCACTTCTGACATCCAGCTGGAACATGTTCTACCTCAGTCATGCAGCACAAGAAATTCAAAACTCATCAGGTACCTTCATGTGAGCTGGGAGGTCTCTGATGGCTTTCTGAACTCCATTTCCCAGAACCACCACTTTACAATGGCAGCACCACAGAGGTTTACTTCCAGGGCTGGCTGGGGTCTTATAGTTCGGTCCTCGAGCTACAACTGAGCCAGAAGCAACATAAATGAGTCAAAAGTAAATATTCATTTCAAAGTGACAGCAAATGAAGACAATAGATCAGTAAACATTTGACATCTGATGGTTTAATTTGATCTATATGGAGCCCTGAGATAACCTTCAATGTTTTTTTTTTATGTGTCGTCATTACATGCAGCTTAAATCAGGCACGACATTTTAATCACAGGCTGTGTTACGGTACTTGGGGAAATCAGTGATGCTCTTGTTTAATTCGGTTGTATTCCCTCACCTGGGCTGTTGGATTGGAAATGGAAATGAGGTCCCTGCTGGTGCAAGAGTCCCTGCGGTCCACCGGGTCGGATCATCTGTCCGTGAAGCCCTGCGGTCTCTCCTTGTCTAGGGAAGAGCATGGGGGGCCGGGGCTCCATACCATTAGGACCCACTCTTGGACCCATAGACAGAGGGGGCCGGTCTGGGGTGCTGCTGACTTCATAGCTGCTGGGGATCTTCACACACAGCAGGTCTGAAATGGCTGCCACTACACCTGTGATGTTCTGAAACACATGTACAGTTTAGGAGATGGAGCTTATGTTTTACACAGTTACATTCGGTGTACACGTCAGCGTTCTTACCTCAGCTGCAGCTGGTCTGAGAGTGATAGCTACAGAAACCAGTCCTTGTTTGGAATCATTTGGCACGGGGCCAAACGGGGAGCCAAAGAACATGGACGAAGGCTCAGTCTTGATGTCAGGCAGTTTGATCTCCAATCCTGGAGAATTACAGACAAACTAATATGTAAAGACAACTGCCACACTTTTAGGCTATAACTACCTCCCCGGATAAATAAATAAAGATGATGATGATAATTTATATAAATTCTAATTAATTATGACTGGATGGTTGAGTTATGTAGCGCTCACCTTTCCCAGGAGCAGGAAGCATGGGGAGGACAGGAGACAAACATGGGGACAGCGGCTCCTCCTTCACCAGAGAGAGGTCTGGGTAGCGGCTGATCTCCATGCCAACGACGCTCTCGGGAGACGAGGACGGCACGAAGCTGTCGGGAGTGTCCCTGTCCTTGCAAGGCTCCTGTCCTCTGTTACTGTTGTCAAACGTGACACGACACAATCAAAACCAAGCAACTAAATTAAATCTTGTGTAGTTTTGGGGCTTATTAAGCATTACCTGAGCTCCTCCTGGTTGTTGTGAGGAGGGGTTGGAAGAGAAGCAGGAACATCTACTGTTTTTGGACCTTGGGCGATGGCCCTGGCTAGTAGATCTTCCTCCGCCCTGAATGGGACGTGTAGCGGCTTTGGCACCAGGCCTTTGGAGACTAATCAAGGAGAAAATAACATTTAGGGCTGCAACAAACGATTATTTGGATAATCGATTAATCGGATGGGGTCTCGACACGATTAATCGATTAATCGGATTACATGGGGAAATTTTTAAAAACTGCTAGGGAAACGTTATTTCTCTCCTTCCTTCACTTTATTTAACACAACATTATTAGAAAACAGTTCAATAGCAGAAAAACAACATGCCATCACCTAAATTGTCTTATAAGGTGTATAGACAGAGACCCTAAGCTACATCTATCTGTGACCGAAAATGCTTGGTCCAAGTTTAACAGCTTAAGGGCAATTCTCATCTGTTTTGTTTGATCTCATCTGTTGACATTTATTTTAAATGTAATTAAACATAGGCTGTGAATTAATCAAAATTGATCACTATTTCCAAAAATGACTGAAAAAATACCAAATAAAACAAAAGTAAATGAATGCCATTCTCCTTGCGATGATGCCCTGGGCAACTGCCATAAAGTCACATCAAGAAATGCTGCTGATCATTCCAACGATCCCAAATAGACTCACATTAGGCCACATGAAAGCAACTGAACCCAAAAATATATTAACCAGTATATAACTGCACTCTCACACAACACGCCTGCAGCAACAGTTAGGACTCCTCCCTCCCTTTTAAAAGCGTTTTTGCTTCCGAGGACATTGTGGTTGTAAAACCACATGCTACTAGTCTGGCCCCGGTGTGATCAACCAGTTTCTGCGGGAATGTGACGGCGGAACCAGGGCCAGATTAACACTTTGTTGTACCCTGGGCAACAATATTCAAGGGCTCCATCATCACGACCCGAGGATCACCATAATGTGGTCACATACAAAATATTTTACTGTAATATGCAGTAAATATACTCAATACTTGAATGCCTGACAACACGTAACCCGCCCAGAGTAACCTTTGACCCACCTCGTGTGGACTGACCAATGAGGAGAGGGTCTTAACTTGAGGCCCTCTCTTCATTGGTCAGTCTGCATGAGACTGACTCTCAACTGACATTCGAAGTCATAGGCAGCAAAGCGTCTCTGTGCAGCGCAAAAGCCCGGGTGGACAGTTTGTTTAATGTAGGGTGATCATATTTCCATTTCCAAACAAGAGGACAGGGGATCTGTGCCTATGATGTCACACTATGGCAACACCACACAAACCATGTTGGGACCCATTTTTTGTAAGAACTAAATTAATATCAGATTCTGCCAATAAAAGGGCTCTAAAACAATTCATATGTAAATATTTTGCATATTTAATGCAAAATCTCATTTTTATGCTTTAGTGCTGCAACAAGGTTTTATTAATAATAAATTATTATACCTTTTGTTTTACTACAGCATCGGTAAGCTTCCTGTGCACAGATTATTAAGGATGCTTGTTTCAGCTGTGAGATTAGACGATAGGATCAATGATAAAATAAGTTGTCACACACTCCATGGAAACTTTCAGATAATCCACAAATAGTGGCTTTCAAATGGTTTTGTTACTTTTTGCAAGTTTAGAAAAGAAGCAGATGAGACAGCATGTCTGATAATTTAGTTTTTCATCTGATATATTAGAACATGTCAGTAATGTCTGAGGGGCTTTTACAAACACTGTATAACTAATACTCCTGGAGAGGGCATGAATTACACAGAGGCTTCTGGGGAGCCCAGTTATGGGGGGGGGGGGGGGGGGGGGGAAGACATTTTGCCTTGGCCCCCAAAATGTCTTGAAACGGCCCTGGGTGTGTGACTGAGTTTTGAAGGTGATCTGAATTGTATCAGATGTATAACTATGACATGTGTATAACTTATTGTTTTTTACTGGTAAAAACGTGTAGTGGAGATAAATCTACCTACATTTTACTTTGTTTTCTTGTTTTTATTTAACTATTTTCCTGTCCTGTCTGTCTCTCATCTTCCTGCATCTCCTCATAATTCTCCAGAAAATCTGTTGCCTGGATTCTTACTTTTTCACCTCATCAGTTACTTTTGAGCAGATCAAAGAGATCTCCTGACCGCAAAGCGGAGAGCGCGTTTTCGATGCTGCGTGAGGTGAAATCACCACAGCACAGGTGATGAGCTCCGCAGCAGAGCGCTTCAGGCACAAATAAGACAGAAAATAGAGAACATGTGCAGACAAGAACGATCGTGTGCTAATTATAGTTTTTTGGTTGCGCCACTTTGAGAATGGACCGTGCGCTGGAAGCAGCTGCCTGGATCGCTGTGCAACAATGCGGAACCGGTTCGCAGCAGCGCAAGTCTGCAGGCTCTCCCTCGCGCTGATCTGCCTGTACCGGCTCTCCCTCGCGCTGATCTGCGGCTCTCCCTCGCGCTGATCTGACTTGCTCTGGTCTGCGCGCAACGGTGGGCGGGAAGGGGTGGTGGGGGTGGGGTGGGCGCTTTTGGAAGAGTTGTGCGACACAACGAATCGATGACGCAATTCGTTGCCAACGCTTTTAGTAATCGATTTTCATCGAATTCATCGATTCGTTGTTGCAGCCCTAATAACATTAATATGATAATAAATAATGTCTATATTCTGGAGAAGGTTTTGTTTTCTCCAGGTTAGTGCTTACCCATGGCCGCAGCTTTGCTAGCCAGCTCCTCTGTTGTCGCAAATCCGTTGATCATTTTCTGTCGATTTACAGGTGGTGGTGTGGGGGGGAGAGATGCCGGTGGTGTTGGAGGATTGCTTAAATTACTCTGCTGTAAAAATGAGACCAATACAAAGTCAGCACACACATACGAATAACTCACATGCAAACCCAGTGGTGTAAGAAGTCCTCACCTTGTAGGCCAGTTGGGAGTAATAATCTGAGACTCCATCTAATGAGGCGCTGCCGAAAGTACCGGACAAGAGGTTTTCTCCGTTGAGCTGGCCGCTGCCGTAGGGAGCGAAGTGAGCAAAGTTTACACTGATCAACGGCTCCATGAGGGGCAGCAGGGAGAGTTGCTGTGTCAAAAACAGGAAAACGATTAGAAAGTGTTAGCACTGAAGAGCAAGCTTTCTTATGCTTCCATAACTTGTAGAAACAGTTTACCTGTTTAATATGGGTCATAACAGAGTCGGTGCCCGAGTGGATCAGCTGCCTCTCATCTCCTTCCTTCTTTCTCTTCTTGTAGCGAGAGGCAGGTTTCTCCCCTCCTTTGGGTGGTCTCTTGTTTCTCCCTTTTTTCTTCTCTTGGTCTGGGAGCAGAGGTCCAGGAAAGTCGGCGGTTCCATCCGAGTACGCCTGCAGTTAGAATAACAAAAACAAAATATTACTGAAGCACAACGAAACAATTTAATGACAGTGTGTCTTCCAACTACTCTAACTGTATAACTAACAACTACTGACCCCATTGCTGTCTATGGAGCTCTGCCGCAGCAAGGCTTTGCAGTCTGTGGACTCCTCCTCCTGTGCGCGCAGGCTCTCCTCTGACCTCTGCTGGGACAATCCATGCGGGGGTGTACTCTTATTCTTTAGAAGGTGTTTCAGGAGCTCATTTCCAGCCTCCCCTTTGTTTGGACTTTGCTCAGGAAATGGAGACACGCCCCCCTTGTTGCCTTCTTCCTTCACGAAGTTCATTTCAGAGCCGACTGAACCGTGACCTGGCCCGTGACACTCGGTAACCTCGGTCTGCTCGAGCTTTATGTTACTGAGGATCCTCTCATGCTCTTGAGCTAGAGTTTTTGATGTATCTAATGATGAAATGGGTTGTCCACCAGAAAGTTGCCTCTCAAGTTCTGAATGACTGGGGGTGGAAGATCCCAGAAGAGGAGATCTGGACAAGTCCTGGTCTCCAAAGAGGTGGTTGCTCCTGGTAGGAGTTGAGGAGGTGTCCGAGACACAAGGTGTTAGAGGAGCTGTGAGGTCCGAGTGGGGAGTGGAAGGTGTTTTGACTGAATCAGCATCATCGTCTTTCTTCTTCTTGCGGTTTCTCTTCTTTTTTCCTTTCTCGTCAGGTATGATGTTGGAGTAGAGCTGAATAAGAGACTGACCCGAGCCTGGGAAGTTGGATGGTAGAGGAGTCGCTGAATCCACCCCAAAAGGGGGACAGTCGTTGAGCATCTGAGCCATCATTCCTGGTCCGCTGAAGTGACGAGGCCTTGGCTGAGCGTGGGGAAAGTTAGGCCCTTGCAGAGCAACATTATCAGGCCCTAAGCCAGGCCCCATGTCAGGCGGCATCATCCCATTCCCCATCATGGCTCTCCTGTCACCCTGAATGAATGTTCCAGGTGGTGAGCCCATACCAGGCTGCATGCCTTGCTGCTGGGGGAACATTGGTCCAAGTTGTTGTGGTTGTTGTAGAGGGGTCCTCTGAGGCTGCATGAAGTCCTGCGGCAGCTCCGAATTAAAAAAGGGCATCTGGGCGAGTGGTGCCATGCTTCCATCTGGTGCCATCATTCCCTGCTGCTCCATTTCCATCCGATGTTTCAGAGCTTTCTGGCGTTCCACTTCCTGCATCAGCTGCACTCGCTGTCTCTCCTGCTGCTCTCTCAGCCTCTCCCTTCTCTCACGCTCCTGGAAACCTTCGCTGAACGGGTTGTTGTCATCGAACTTCACACCAGCTGGCTGCATGGTTTTAACGGCACCTGGCGGAGCGGACGGTGCTTGGGGCTCCACGGGCATTTGGGAGTGCTGAGGGACGTTGCCCAATGGCATTTGAAAGGGCTGAGCTGAGTTTCCAACAGGGACCTGAGGAGGCATTATGGGAGACATTCCTGGTCCACCCAAAGGCATGGCAGGCCCAGGATGCCAGCCTGGAGGGGCATTGGGCATACGTGGAGGCGCGTTAGGCTGGCCAGGGTGAAGCGGAATCTGCATCATGGCATTCGTGGGCGGCTGTACCATCGGTGGTCCACTGGGCATCATGCCAGGAGTAGCCGTTACTGGGTGCATCCCCGGCATTAACGGTGTCATATTGTTCTGCTGCTGCTTTACTCTGTATTCCTCAATAAGCTCAGCATGCTCCTTCTGCTGCTTGCGGATCTAAAATGAGAAAAAAAGAAAAACGATTTCTACAAAGAGTGAATTTCAATGGATTTCTATCAGACACTGAGGAAGCTAGCTATAGCTGAGACTTAATGCTTAGGGTGAATTTCAACGACACCGCTTGCATCCATAATTTTCATATGCAGAGATATGGGGAAAAAAAAGATGCTAAAATAAAACGTCTCCAAAATAAAGACATTTTTTTTTAAATCAGAGAAGAGTGAACTGAGTTTTTGTTATTTTAAAATCCTCGTCTTGGCTTCTTTAACAATTAAATTTTTACTCATAGGAAATGAAAAAACAAGAGAGTATTTAGAGTTTAGGGCAGCCAGTGTGCACATGCCTGACAGGCTATGCACTCACCTGCTCCAGTTGTTTCTGCACTACACCCTGCTGCTCTGTGACATGTTTGAGCTGCTCAGCATCCTCCTCAGGGAACTCTCTGCCTGCCTTCTTAGCCGTTCTCTGCTTGGCAGACAGGGCTTTCTTAGACTTCCTGTGAGCGCCGATCTGCTCCTCCAGAAACTTCTGCTGCATTTGAAGTAGCTGCTGAGTCTTCTGGAGCCACTCCTCATACTGAGCCCTCTGAGGATTATCTAAGAGAAGAGAAGGGATGTTTTCTTAGCAACCTTGAGAGCATAAAAACCAACATATTTAGAGTTGCAGCCATAACTAATCTTGCAAGAGAATCTTTGAAGAACTTACTGACAAATCCTGGTCCAAAGCTGGGAGGGTTTGGCCTTGGTACTTGTGTTAATTTTCCATCCTGGTAATAAGAAATTGGTAAGGTGTTTTTCACATTTGTAACTGAAATATTTGACACATTTCTTTAGAAAAATTGATTACCGATCCAACAACTTGTGGAGGGAGCGGTGTGCTTTCAGGACAGGGTGGTGGTCCGGAACCAGGTGGAAACCTGTCAAAACATTTAGGAGACATTAATATTATAAAACGTCTAAATGCAAATAAACAACCCAACGCACTCTACAAACATTACATTTTTCTTTAGACTTAAAGTAATTATCTCAGTTGTAAACGTTCATACCTGTTCACCATCGAAGTCATTCCCATGTTGTTCTGAACCATGACTTTATTGATGCCTTTCAAGGCGACCATTTTAGCTTTCATGATGGGGTCAGTGATGGCATCAAAATCTGCAAAGACAAACAGTAAGATAACCAATCTGTATTCTGTCTTAAAAGGGTGACATGCATGACGACGGCCTGAAAGCCTCACCGATGTTGGAGAAAAAAGCATCGCTGGAACGCTGTCGTATCATAGCTTGCATCTGCCGCTGCTGCTGTTGCTCCCGTCTCTCCTGGTCTAGGAGGTCCTGAATTAGGAGTGGCTGCTCCTCCAGCAAAAGAGGACGCGGTTGGTTAAGCTGACCCGCGGCCTGGTTCAACCCTGCCAGCTGGGCTTGGCTCAGACCACTCTGGTCCACTCCTGGGGTCAGCCCCACTTGGTCGGCTCCAAAGGCAGTCATAGAAACATCACCCGAGTTGGTGTTTTCGCCTAGTGTTTGGCTCGCTGTAAGCACTGAGGTATGTGGTGTATCAGTAACTTGGTTCTGCTGGGCCATGAGGTTTCCTCCTTGACTGACAGGTCCGATGATTGGATTTAATGATGACTCCTCGGGCTGCTGCTTAATGAGTAAACTGGACAGGACTGGGGTGGAGTCAGAGAGCGCCCCCTGCTGGTTTGAGGCATTGTCAGAAGCTTGCTCCTCAACCTCTTCAGGTGGCCTCTGACAGTCTTTGACCTCTTTTTTAATTTCCTGGTTCAGTGGTAAAGAATCCGAGTTTTGAATCCCAGGGTCGTCCGGCTTGAGTTCAGCTGAATTTTGCTCACCTGAAGTTTCCGAGTTTGCAGACAAAGATGCAGAACTTGATGAATACTCACTTACCGTGTTTGGATGTCTGTTGAGGTCTGCAGCTTCAGCGTGATCATCCATTGGATCGCTAAGATCCAGCTCCTCATTAAACATGTCTTTTTTGATGTCATCTGAGTCGGGGTCTGTGTAAGCAATGATGTCAAATTTACCAGATTTCAGAAAGTCATCAAGGTGCAGGTCGTTGGTCTCTAGATCCAAGTCTTTGCCATCCTCAGGATCCAAATTTAGGTTTTCCAAGTCAGCATCTACCAGGTCTTTCACTTCCACGTCTTCAAGGTCTTTGACAGCCGAGTCTTCTCCATCTAGCTTTTCTTCAATAGCTTCACTGGTTGCCACTGAGATGGCCTCGGTCTGCACAACAGAGGGAGCAGGGAGGATCATGGATGCTGCCATGTTCTGGATCTCATTTGAAGCAGGTTGGCTCATAGATCTCATCAATGGAGATTGTTTTATAGGGCTGATTCCTGGCATCTGGCTTTGTTGATGAAGATTGTCCATGCTAGCAGAGAGGTGTAAGTGGCCGGCCTGGCTACCATTAGGGTCGACCATTTTAAGCCCCTGATTTAACGAGAACCTGGGATCAGGTGGTCCAGAAAAGTCTGGAGGCCGTTGGCCCAGCAGGTTAGGGTCGATATTGTTTCCTTGCATGCTGCCGAGTGGAAACGGCATGCGCGGCCTGTTTTCTGGCGCTCGGTGTCGCAGCTCGATAAAATGCTGGCCCATTATGTTGTGTTGCTGCACCGGCATGCTGCGTGGTGGGAAGTTGTGGTGCAGCCCCATGGGGTTTCCTCCCATGCCTTTTGTCATTTCAGCAGTCAGGGGCAATCTCATCTGAGGAGGGACATTCTGCATCGTGTGCTCCCCTCTGTGAAAGAACTCTTGAGGCCCGTGAGGTCCTGGAACACCGGCCGTAAATGCAAACCTGAAACAAGATTGGGAATGACTTTAAACAGAGGAAACAGTAAAGATCTGTTCTATGAAATACAGTAAAGCAAAAGTGTCACAAACCGTGGTCCCTGATGCCTCAAATTAGGATCTCCAGGGTGTGGGGGCTGGTGGATTTGCCCCTCGTTAGAAAAACAGACACGCTGATCCACTGGAAAAGATCCAGGAAATCTCATCGGGCCTCTCATGGGGACTGGTCCGGGATAAGGTGGAGGAGGTCTGTTGAACATTTCGCCCTGTTGGCTGGGGCCGTCTTGGGGCCAGGGTCGTGGCGTTCCTGGGGCTGTGTTACCAGCAGGATCCTGAGGGCCCCTCTCCTGTCGGCTGGCAGTCCTCTGTAAATGTTGTTTGAGGATTAGCTCTTTAATTCTTTGCCGCTAGAACAGAAAGGAAGAGGGATTTTATACACACATTTAATAGGCTATATAGTTTAACAAAAGCATAAATTATATTTAATGTTTAGATGTTTAAGTTCAAGTTTTTTCCACATATTTCTAAATAAAAACATTAAATTCATAAAACAGCTAGGGTCAAGTGTCATTATAAATTGAATAAAAAAAAAATACAAATGAAACAAAGGCAATCTCAAAACTCAGACATCTTTCATACGAAATTTAACACACAGTAAAATAAATAAATAAATAAATAAAGCTAACAGGAAAAATAGGACTTCCTGTTTGTCATCTAAATCAGATCACAGTAAATCAGAAGACTAATTTTTGAGATGGTGTAGGTTCTATGCTAGAAACTAAATCACAACTTTTAAAATGTGAGATATAAATAATAAAACTGCTATTCTGGTACCTGTCTGAGTTTCTCCTCAGTCTCGGCGAGAGCAACACCCTGGGCTTCACATGACACAGCAGGTATTTGTAGATTGTTGGGCATTTGGTTTGGGTCTTGAGGGCCACTTCCATTGTTACCTAAAACTGTCTGATCTTTCATTTCCATTTTTTCTGTGGACTGTGGACAAGGGGTCATGGGGGCTTGTTCTAAAGGGTCGTGGACAGGTGTCTGACTGGGTCTTCTTGTAGGTGACTGGGTGAATCCATCTTCCAGAACTCCAGGGTGCTTTTGTGTGTGAGAATCCGGATGGGAGTATGACTCTTGAAGCCTGGATTGCGTTGAGGAGAAAGAATCCTGACCTGGTCCTGGCCTCTGCATTGGTCTGTTACCCCCATCGGGACCAGGTCTTGGGGTCCCTGGAGGTTGAGCATAAGGGTCATTGAGCATTTGTCTAGCGGGCCCTGGCTGGGAAAAATTGTCATTACTTCCTGTTCGTGATGGTCCAGGAGTACTGGTGAATGGCTCCACTGGCCCCCTCTGGCTACCCGGGGACTTGGAGAACCTCTCTCCAACTGAGGGACGTGGAGTCCCTGGTGGTTGACCATAAGGGTCCATTGAGTGGGAAGGTGACATTCTCTGTCCAGGGTGGGACTTATGAGGAAACTGGTTCATCCCACCGGGACGAGGAGTAGAAGGAGCCTGAGAGTAGGGGTCTGAGGAAGAACCAGGTGAGTTTGATGGTTGACCGTAGTTGTCATGTGGACGTGGAGTGCCTGGCGGTGGAGCATAAGGCTCAAAAAATGGTCGAGGTTGAGCTCCATGTTTGTTGATGGAACGCTGGTTAATCGTAGGCTGAGAGAAATGGTCAACACCTGACTTGTTAGGACCAACTGGCGGGGCAAAGGGGTCATAAGTAAAACGGTCTGGCCTTGGAGTGGAAGGCGCGTGCGCATAGGGATTTTTAGACATCTGAGACATTGGTCCAGAGTGAGTAAATGGGTGCCCTTGAGGGTGATGCTGATTTATCCTAGGAGGACTGGTAAAGCTGTCATTCCCTGATGGTCTTACGGGATGTGGGGGCTGTGCATAGGAGTCACTTGCCTGGTTTTGTGGAAATCTGTCTGCGGGATGAGGACCTGGTCGGCTGAAAGGATCCTGAGGAGGAGGCATAGGAGTTTTGAACAGAGGTACAGACCCAGACTCATTACTACCAGGAATGGGTGCTATTAAAGGTCTAGAGTAAGGGTCGGACAAAATCATCCTGTTTTGGGCCAGGCGCTGATAGGCATCGTTTCTAATCATGGGTCTTGAGTATGGGTCTCTACCCGGAGATCCTATTGGGGATCTTCCTTGTGCTGCCTGGCTGCCCCTGGGGGGACCCATGGGCTTCAGAAAAGGGTCTATTTCTCCAGTTGGCCTTGGTGTGTCAGGAGGTTTGGCATAAGGGTCGTTGCACACAGATGTAGGAGAACCAAATGCTTCATGCGCTGGAGATGGCCTTCCTCGGTCCTGCTGCTCCATCAACGAAGTGGGGGATTTACCTGATTCCACAGACATTCTGCGACATGAATTTGGTCCAAGTGTTGGTGGTCTTGGGGTCCCTACCATTTTGGCATAAGGATCCCACGGAGAAGATGGTCTGGATCCAGAGGAACCTGGTGAAAATACTTGCGGAGACTGAGGTTGCGACGAAGGGCCAGATGGAGGGGGAGGAGGCGGTCTTAAGAACACATCCTCTGTGGAACATGAAGTGGGAGTACCTTGTAGCTGTGGCCTGGTAAAACTTTCTTTAGGGTTAAACTGCTGCATTGGGGACATGCTGTCATTACTTGGTTGGGAGGCTGGACTCTGGTTTCCGCTGTTGTTGCCGTCTCCTTCCAACTGACTGCTCGTCAGCTGTTGCTGCTGCTGCAGTTGCTCATTCTTCACTTGCTCTAACTTTTGAGTGGCTTCAATTTTGGCCTGTTGTTTGCTTTTCTGCCTCATTTGCTGTTGGAAAAACAAAGTGAAGAAAAAAAAAGAATGGGTTAGGTATCAACAAAGATGCAAAAATAATTCTCATGCCAAAATGAGCTGGACCTACTAACCACCATTGTCACCAGGGTTAATGCGAGGGATAGTGCAGTTGATTAGGGGAGCTTTACTAAACCACCACTTCTTAGCTGTCTTAAAATAAAGTAGACCTGGCGCTGCTTACGCTGACTTCATTGCATACACTCTTACCTGTCTAAACTTCCACTCTTGTTCATGCTCTGACTCTTTTGGTTTCAAAGGGTCTTTAAACAGCAGTTCTGTGTCTAGTGGTAAGTTGGGATCAAACACCTCAGGGGGCTGTTGCTGTGGATGATGCCTCTTCACCGTCTCATTTGACATCTGGACTTTGTTGATGCGCAAGGCTGCTCGGTTATCTCTTGCCTTTTGCTGAACAACAAATCAATCACAAAAACAAGAAGCACGTGAGTATTCCACAAACACAAGACCTACGCACATCGACGGAGATCGCTCACTGTTGCAGGTGATGATAAAAAAAAATTTGATTTGGAATTTTAATGAACTTTAGGCTCTAAGAGCATTTCAAGGACAGGAATCCTACGAGACTAAATGCAATCTCACATACACCAAATTCCAAATGTAATAATTTTGGACCTTTGAAATTCCACAAATGTTTAATTTGCAGAACAGAAAGAAAGTCTTTCTGTAAATTTTAATAAATCAATAGAACAATTATTCTTGCCCAAACTGTTTCTTGGTAGATTTCATGGGTGAATTTTAATTGATCAACATAAAAAATACACGTGACGGTGTTCACTTAACTCATTAACTACCATTGACGACAAAAGTTGCCATTTTAAATCCAACCATTCACTGCCAACGATGACTAAAGTCATCATTTGCATTTTTTTTTTACTGTGTGGGCGTCGGAACGAGTCCCTGCACTGTGAGAACAAACACCCCAGCTCTAAAGCCGATCTTCATCCGAGTATGTCACGTGACCAGGAAACAGAAAATCCACGTTTTTCGGAGGAGGGCGCTCATGTGCAGCTATGGAGTGGACGTATTTTCTGAGCTCTCCGTGCCATCTCACTCATAAAGTTGCACTTTGTTTATTCCTAGCTGGGTAGTTTTAAATTTTGTTTCGTGGACTGCCGGAGCCGATCTTTTGTTATCATGCCAAAGAAAGATGAGAGCCAGAGGGATACGTCCAAGGCGAGCCAGTCGGCGGCCGGTAATGATGCCATATTAGCGGCTATTGCCAAGCATGGAGCTGAGCTTTCCAAAATAACCTCGCTCCCGCAAAGCTCCAAGTCGACTCTATTTACTTTCCTGCAAAGCTCCAAGTCGAATATAACAATACATCGAAGACTTTTATGTCGCCGGAGGAAGCTGCAAGGTTTGCTGACTCCTTGGGCTCTACAAATGAATAATAATTCATAAGTGACTTGCTAATTTCACAACATATTTACATACTTTGCGCATATTCTGTTATAATGTTCTCTACTCAGCTATGTTGAATGTTTTGATCCAACATCTTTGTCCTCAGTTGATTAATGCGCAATATAAAGGTTTGTTGGTGCGCATACTGTGATTTACATACTGTAGAGTACATGTCTTTCCCGCATTGAAACGGTGTAAAGTGCCTATTTTGCCTATTGGGTTCCGCTTCTACAGTATTTGTGTTACGTTGTGATTTTGGGAATATGCACATGTTTCTGTATGCTCCGTCTCATTTCTGCATATTTGCAGTTTTGTTGCACCGGTTAAAAAGTTTTATATCCGTCTAGATATTTGGGTTGGATCTTTCCTACTTTGTGCACAATTGTGTTTTTTTACATTTGTTAAATGGATTATATGTGGGGCGCACAGGGCTCCATGTTTATTTTTTTTCTTTGGAGTATTAGCGTTCAGTCTGGCTGGCCCTGGTTCCTGGCTGCCTCCCTGTTGGATATTGGGGGTGTTCCGCTTTCTTCTTTTTGCGGTTTTGGGGGGGTCGTCTACATGTTTCTAATCATGTGTCGTTTTCTTTTTTTGATGTAAGTTTGATGTAAGTCTTTATTTGCCAAATGTCAAAGCCTTCATTTTCTCCTTCCACACTGTCGTAAGACATCTACTCACTTAATCTGGGGATGAGCCACATCACTTTCATGACCTGGAATTGTCGGGGTATGGGCAAAGCTCTTAAATGTGGTAAAGTATTTTTGCATTTAAAATCTTTTTCTTCTGATATAATTTTTTTACAGGGGACCAATATCCAACCTTCAGACCAGAGGTGATTAAGATCGGTATGGGTGTCACAGGTGTACCAGTCCACCTTTTCTTCCAGGGCGAGAGGGGTTGCCATTCTTGTTCGAAGAACTATTCCTTTTATATTCAAAAATCAGACACGTGATCCAGGTGGGAGGTTCATACTTGTTACAGGTGCAATCAACTCCATCCCTGTAGTCCTCTTGAACATCTATGCCCCTAATTTTGATAACCCTGACTTCTTTAGTAAAATATTCAATCTGGTTTCACAATACAATGACCATAATATCATTATCAGTGGTGATTTTAATTTTTATTTCGATCCACTGTTGGATAGGTCCTCTGCGTCCCTGGCCCCAACTTTGAGAGTTGTTTCTGTACTCAATACTGTTACTAAATCTTTGGACTTGGTTGACATTTGACTGCCACAGTTACTGAAATCACTAATTTTCTTGATGCTTTAGACATTCCGACTCTTTCTGATGTTGCAAGGGGCTCACTCGATGCAGACTTTACACTGGAGGAAATCAGAAATGCAATTTGCTCCTTTCCTAAAGCTTGTGGCCTGGACGGTTTTGGGATTGAGCTTTATAAGACACATATTGACATTATTGCTCCCCTGCTACTTCGGATGGTAAATTGCGCAGTGGTAAACGGCTCATTCCCTCATTCTTTCTACGATGCCCATATTTGTCTCCTCCTGAAAAAAGACTGAGACAAAACTAATGTTTCATCCTATCATCCCCTAAGCCTTTTCAACTCAGACCAAAAAATAATTGCTAAAGTCCTAACTAACTGGTTAAATAAGCATATAGGCTCTTTAATTCATCCTGATCAACCAGGTTTTATCCCCAATAGATTTTCTTTCTCAAATACTAGATGTCTCTTAAATGCAATATACTCAACGACACTGCCGAATTCTGCAGTGATTTTACTTGATGCCCAGCAGGCTTTTGATCAGGTGGAATGGACTTATTTGTTTGCTACTCTTAACAAATTTGGTTTTGGGTCAAAATTTTTGAATATGGTTAAGTTGCTTTACGCTTGCCCTCGTTCCTCACCAACCATGAGAGGGCGCTCCCGTTCCTCTTACACCGTGGGACCAGGCAGGGTTGTTGCCTCCAACGCTTTTTGCTTTAGCTCTAGAGCCGCTGGCCATTGCCATCAGAGCCGATTCCCATATCGCTGGTATAAATTGTGGTACGTCAGAGTACACCTCTGGTCTGTATACAGATGATATTATATTGGCTCTTTCAGATTTAAAGATCTCCCTTCCTCCTTTTCTTAAACTGATTGACAGATTTGGCCACCTATCAGGGTTCACCATTAATTGGAAGAAGTCTGTTCTTATGCCTCTGTCGTCTGGTCTGGGCCATGATTTCCTGCCTAGTTTGCCCTTTAAGGTCTCCCAGGATTATTTTTCATACCTGGGTATTAACATCCCTAGGAACTCAAAACTCCTCTTCAGCATTAATTATTCGGTTCTAAATGATGAGCTCAAGTGTATGATAGATAAATGGAAACTTCTCCCACTTTCAATGATTGGTAGTATCAATATAATCAAAATGGTTGTGCTCCCTAAATTCACGTACCTATTCCAGAACGTTCCTATTTTTCTCAGGTCTTCCTTTTTCAAAGCATTGGATGCCATTATCATGCCTTTTGTTTGGGCCTACAAGCCCCCCCGCATCTCGAAGTCTCACTTGCAAAAGCCCACAGACGAGGGTGGTCTGGGCATTCCGGTTTTCAAACATTATTACTGGGCCTGTAATACTAGAGCCTGGGTCTTTTGGAATCTGCCAATAGTCGGTGATGCTTTGGGATGCGGGTCCAGCCCCAAATGGCTCGAAATGGAGCTTAGCACTGCTATCGAGCACACTGGAGCATCCTTACCAGCTATTTTATTTTCAAAATTGGTTATTAATAGTACATATGATGACTTTATTCTTTGCTACTCCTTAAAAATATTGAACCAAATTAAGAGAATCTTGAACCTCCCGGAATTGTCAACTTTTGCCCTGATCTGCCATAATCCTAGCTTTAAGCCTAGTACAATGGATGCTGCTTTCAAACAATGGCCTGTTAAAGGGCTAACTGCTATAAAAGATCTTTATATTGACAATCATTTTGCCTCCTTTGCTCAACTTCAGACAAAGTACAATCTCCCTACAAGTCATTTTTTTGGTACTTACAAATTAGGAATTATGTCAAACAAGCATTCTCAAATTTAGATACTATCCCCATTCAGCATGTCTTTTACAATATAATGAACGAACCTCCCACCTCAAAACACTTAATCTCTCGGCTTGTTAACCTTTTTTCTTCGGCAACCTCCTCTTGCCATATTAAAGAGGCTTGGACAAGGGACACTGGTTTGGATATCTCTGGCGATTTATGGGCTTAAGTGTTAAGCCGGATAAAACTGTGCTCTGTTAACGCCCGGCTTCAGTTAACTCAATTTAAGGTAGTCCATGGATTGCACTATTCCAAAACCAAATTGAACAAGATTTTTCCTAATGTTTCCCCCAAATGTGATAAATGTAAACTTGTAGATGGTACTCTTGGCCATCTTTTTTGGTCCTGTTCTAAGCTTACTGCCTTTTGGACTAGTATTTTTAGTTTTTATAGCATTGTTTACAATAGGCAACTGTATCCTGACTGTCTTATGGTGATCCTGGGATACTCCAGCAACTCCTTGGCACTTCCTTTTGCTGTGTAACAGGCCCTTATGTTTGGTATGGTGATTGCCAAACGTCTGATTCTGGGTGAGTGGAAATCTGCCTCCCCTCCCTGCTTCAAGAGGTGGCTCGAGCAGATGGTCTCCTGTTTATACCTGGAAGAAATTCGGTTTTCTACATCTGATTCTATGGAGAAGTTCAAGAAGATATGGGGGCCCTTTATAGACCACAATAAGAAGGACAGTCCACGCCCTGGGTCCTGACCATGTTGTTTTAACTGTTATCATTCTGAGCTGTTGCCCATAGCTGTTATGAAACGGCTCCTCCTAACGATCTCTGGATTCAAACTTCAATGTGGATTGGACTCACTGGATTCTGAGTTGTTTGACATGTATACCATTTGCTTTTTTCTTCTTTGCTGTTCCTAATACGTGCTGGCCGTGTTTGTTTTGTTTGGTTTTATTTTTTTGTTGTGTTTCTTTTTTTTTGTCCTTATTGTCAGTGTTCCTCTGTCCCGCTGTTATGAATGTGTAAATATTTTTTTTTTTAACTTGCATAAATAAATACGTAAAATGGCCAAAAAAAAAGAAAATCCATGTTTTTCTTTAAACATCTTTGGTATGTTCTTACTGTGTCTAGTTTCTAATTCCATTTTTGTTCTTTTTTAAAACACAGGAAAGGTTTCTCTTTACCTTGCTGACAGTTTTGTTTGCCGACTGCAAAACATCCTCAGAGCTGACGCTGCCTATTCTAGGAAGTGACGCCAGCGTCAGTTCTGAGGATGTTTTGCAGTCGGCAAATAAAACTGTCAGCAAGGTAAAGAGAAGCCTTTCCTGTGTTTTAAAAAAGAACAAAAAATGGAATTAGAAAATCCATGTGTTAGGAGATCGTTTTGGGCCGCTGCTGTAAAACAAGTGAGGTGCGAACCAGAAAAGCTTCTGCTGATCACAATTCAACAACGGATTATGAAAGAACGGATAACGCTCAAACCGCGCGGATTCTTCCTGATGTAAGAGGTGAACCTACTCTTTGTTTTGGTTGTTTCATCCTAGCGCGCAACGTTATGTGACTCTTAAAAAAATGGCGAAAGCGCTGAAAAACGCTGACAGAGAAGAGCTTTACTGATGAGGAAATGGCTGGCAGTGAATGAGTTAATTTAACATAGTAAATGTTTTTTGACAACAGCCTTTGTTAGGTAAAATCAGCTTAACTATGAGATGAGGGTGATCTTACCACATATGGGGCTCTGTCCTGTGAACTAGCTTTCCTCCAGAGTTTAGCAATTTGTTTAACTCTTGTGGACCAATCTGTTTGAAGAACAACACAGTAAGGAGTCATACCAGTTTTAGAAAATAATAAATACACGAATAAATGTTTTACAGCCATGAACCAACCTGGGTACTCTTCTTTAAGGTTGGGGAAATTGATATTGGTATATAGTACAGGTGCAACAGTGGCAAGCTCTCCTAGTGTCTCCTCCTTCTCCCACTTGAGTGTGCTTCTTTGGGCATTTGACATGGCTTCGGTCTCCCCCTCGGGCAAAGACCCAGGGGGTGCAGGGCCAGGGCCATGGGTAGAGGACGGCCACGGACCAAGTGCCTCTCTAGGCATCTGATTAAACTTTATATCCCTGCAACATCGAGAATTACAGCTCAAGGGCTAGACCACGTTTCCGAAGAGGAAAGCAGATACATCAACAAGATAACTCTACTAATGATAACCAGAGCCCTACCTTGGATTGTCAGAGAAAGGCATACGATTGAGTGATGAGAAATTTTCTGGGATGCAGGGTCCTGGTCCGGGATTAGTGGGAAAGCGTTGGTTTGGACCCCTGATACCATTTATCATTGGCATCCTCGGGAACATCGGATGTCCTGCGTGCAGAACATAGAAGGTGACTTTAATGCATGAAAGTTACAAAATAAAGGATGAGGTCACTAAAACTGTACCTGCATTGGGATGAGGCATACTTGTGCCAGGTGACGAAGGGATGGGCCCTGGACCCGGGGGGTGAGGCACCTGTGGTGGAGGTGGTTGGCTCATGCTCGGGCTAAGAACTGCGGTGAAGAGATCCTCCACATCCTTGCCCTCCAGCTCTGTAACCATGAGGAAGCACAATGAGAAGTGTTCAGTCAAGCTTGTTGGTTGAATATGTAAGTATTAGAAATGCTTTAAAGTAGAATTTAAGTATAAATTTGTAAAAATATTTTAACAACCAACAGAAAACTCTCAAATTAAAAAACTTAAAAGATGGTTACTAACCTGGAATTTTGTAAAGTTTGCTGAGCATCGACTCTGAAGAGAAAGAAAAAAAAAATTCAGAAAACCTTGAAAACTATTCTAGTTTTAAAACAACATTGAAAAAGACGTGGGGGGGAAAAAGTCAACACAATTAAGGCAGAGAAATGTTTCATTCCAGAAATTCAGATTGAGAACATTCCTCCTATCTAAAGAGCTGGTTGAAACCATTTCAGACACCACACAGGCTTCACACTTTTTATATCCAAACACAAGTAGAAACCACCACACTGACCATCTGTGACCATCTTGTCTAGTTCTGGGCTGAGAATGCCATCCAGGGGTTCATCTGCAATGGTTCGAGGCGTCCTCCGTCCAGTCGGAGGGGCTACTGAGGAGCTGTCTGTCAGGGATCGGATCTCCAGACCAGCTGTGGAAACACACACAGACTTATAAAAACAACGTTCCAACACAATACCCAGCTGAGAGGCTGATCATAGATCTAGACTTTAAGTGAGTACATAAACATAAGAACACAGACATCTTAACAGCCTGGAAAACACGACTGCAATAGAACGGAACAGTGTGATCACCGCTCTTTAAGGGTTGAAATTTGCTTAAAGATACAGTTCACCATTTACACCAGGATCTATCTAAACATTTAAAATGCTGCTGCAGTCTTTCATTGCCTAATAATTTTGTCCCATTTTTCACAAAAAAGCTACTTGTCTGTGAAGCATTTAAGACAAATAACCGAGGACATGTGCTGCAGAGCGTTTTCATCAGAAAGCCAATGGAATTAGGACAGCAGTTCTTAACTGCCTTTAGAAACTGAAAAGATATTGGCAAACACCTCTAACTCAGTTTGAATACTAGCATGTCCTTGTCAGTTTCTTTGCCATTTTGAAAACGTCTTGGCTAGTCGGTTATGAACTTATGAAGGGTTTTCTGAGGCTCACAAATACAAAAGACGGACACAAACTACACTTATGTCAATACCGAGGGCTGTTAGGTAAGCGCTGAGCGATTAGTGAGTGTTAAAACAACTTCAAATGATTGGGGAAAAGCTAAAGAAAAAGCAGCTTTGTGTTCATGCACACACAAAACAGATGCAAACTATAAAAGAACGCTCTAAAGCAAGGGAGTAGGAGGCCATAGCACCCTTACCAAAAGGAGGAGGTGAGCTGTCAACCCTGAAGTGGCAAAAATCAAGACCTACAAGAACCCAAAACCGAGTGAAATAAAATGGTGAAGACAGAACAAGCAAAAAAATGTGCTCGAAAAACAAAAGACTCAAATCAGGAATGGAAAAAATATAAAGCATTATTAAAGAATGTGGCATTAAAGAACATCTCTAAAGTTGTGAACCCTGCTCTCCGAGGCGTTTCTGCATCAGGAGGAGGGGATTTTTAAAAAGAACCAACAGGTAGGTGATTATTAACACATTCTGCCACTGTGACTGCCAGTGAGATATACAACGCACCAGAGTCACCGCTTGGCTTTCCGAGCGCTCCCAAGATGTCTGCACCAGAGTTCAAAACATCAGACAGATCAACTAATGGATCCTCAGCTGGCTCTGTGGATGGAAATAGGGGAGAAACAAAAACAAAAAAGAAAAAAAACAAACAAAAAAAAAACCAGTCACAAATAATAAATGACGATGAATGAACATGAGTGATTTGGAGCCTTTTGATTGGGTGCCTCATGTAAAATTTGTTCTCAATTAAACCCCGAATGACGAAAAAATTCCAACAACTAAATCTTCTAAAGTGTTTTAAAACAATAATAAGCCCTTCTCTGAGTGGCCACACAAGTTGCTATTAAACCGAAACCAAAAGATCAAACCTTAGTATTTATCATTTGTTGGTTAATCCAGTAAAATTAATTTGGTCATTTAACATCAGGTCTAATGCTATAACTTAGCAAATTATACCCTTTCTGCTTTTGGAAAACCAAAGTACTGTGTGCACATACGTGGTGCTGCTGCTGCTCTTGCTGGCATGGATGATGATGCACTGAGCAGCGGGCTTGACTTCGTGTCCAGGAAGCCGGTAACGGGGTGCTTCCTCTCTACGTGGTTCTGCCCATCCTCCAGCAACCCCGACTCAACCGCTTGATGCCTACTGTGCTTGCTCTTGTCCAGTAAGTCCTTTCCAAAGAAAGCCTCCTGAAAATAACATACAGTTCATTGATGTTTTTGTTTTCTGTTTTCTTGAAAAACGATTGCATAAGCATCATCTGAGTGGCATGAACTATGCCCTCGGGGTTTTGAAAAGTCATCTAACCACCACAACACAGAATGACACTGCTGCACTGAGACTTTAGAAGCCAGACATGTTATCTCAATAATTAATTAAATCTGCGTTGCTGTGTCAGACCTTTAGGTTAGACTTCACATCCCCGATTCTCTGTAATGTGCTGGGATAAAGAACTGCAGACAGCCACCAGCGACTTAATGCACATCACCTATCTCTGTTTCAGCCAACACAAGATGACAATGAGATGCTGGCAAGGGACGAGAAGCCTTCAAGTCATCCCCAGTTAGTCTCCTGTTTGTCAATTCATGACAGAGACAGAGGGCCATTTAAAAAGTTATAATCACAGACAAGAATCGTCCACAGAGAGTTCCTTAAGGCTGCTTCTGTTTCAAAAAGCTCACCAAAGAGGCTCCATGCTCTAAAGATGTGTGAGTGGTTTTAAGGCACTGTGGTTTCCCTAACCTTTCCAAGGGTGAAAAAACACTTATTAAAAAACTAAAAGATATAAGATAGGGATCAACCCATATGGAGTTTCTAATGGCGATATCTATGTGTACAGGTCACGGTCAGCCGATGGCCGGTATGTGCCGTTGATTTTTTGGGCAGATTTTTAGACTCTTTTCATCTTATTTATTCTTTCATTCTTTTTAAACATGGAGTTCAACCAACTGTTCAATCTTAACTTTGTGCACTGCTCAGAACTAAAATCAAACATTTAACTGAAGTTAATCAAACAAATCAATAAACAGACCCAGTATTAAATTTACAAAACAGGTAAATAAAAACAAATGTGAGTTGACAAAATGTTTATTAGGTAGGTGTTTTTCAGGTACATTAATTATCATTTAATCAAATTTGGCACTAAGCTCTCCGTAGATGTATCTGTTTTTAAATCGGCTCTACTAGAGAGGTATATTAGTCGATAATTGGTTAATGTCGGCCGGATAGATCTGTCTATCCTTAGTATAAAATATACATCTTGCTGATAAAATACACTTTTCCAATATAAATGTTTACAATAAGTATGTCATCTTAAAGCATAAAAATATGGTGTAAAAAGAAGCAAATACATTTTTTAAAGGCAATTGTTTGATTACAGGGCACACCCAACCAGATGTAGTAACAAGCTCTGTTGGTTTTAGAAATACTTATTAAATCCTCATTTAAGTGCTTGCTGTTGACAGATGACTAACCTGTAGGTAGGTGGGAAAAGCCTCTTCCAGTTTGGTTTTCTTCTTTCGATAACGTTTCTTTATCTTCTCCGGGACCTCCAGTCCGGTGGGCGTCTCATCCACGGGAGTATCCGGCAGAGCTTCTGTCCAACCTGCAAAAGAGAGAGAAGAAAGATGCCGCTTTCAGTTCAAACTCATATAATAAAAACATAAAGAAAGCTAAATTTACTGTGCAGATAATGCACAGCTGCACCGACCATCATCTTTTCCAACGGGGTTTTCAGACACAGAGCCAGAGGAGTCTTTCCTGCAGAGGGCCCGCTTAGCTTTGCCTGGACCTTGACCTGGACGGCTCCTCTGGCGGACCATGAACCCCCCAATGCCTTAAGGACAATAAATAAATAAATAAATAATTAAAACCAGAAGGATTTGTCAAAAAGCGTTTAATTAAATCATTGACACTCAAACAAATTGAGTTTTTACAGTATGATTCTATTAACCACACGATGCATTAAGGCTCAAAAACACCAGAGAGTGCCCTCTGTGCAACTGGGTCTGTGAGATGGCAGCGCTCTGCAACAGCTTCAACACTGGGCACGAACTGCACCATTTTACGCTTCAAGGGAGCTGTCTCCTTCGATCAGGTGCCCTACCCGGCCGGTACGGTTTCCTCTTCCTCTTCTTGATGCCGTCGGCCCCCTTGGATTCATCCTCCACTGGCTCTCGCTCCAGGCTGGAGTCAGACTTGGTCTCACAATCAAGGAGCTCCGCCTCTGTGAGATGTAGAGAACTGATGATGAGTGGCAGCTCAGCAGCTGCGAACACCCCATCCTGGCCCCTTAACGCACCAACACGGTCAATTCAATCTGAGTCACACTTAGTGGAAAGACATTAACCTGATTGAATTTAGGTTTACCAGTCCCGTGACTAAAGACCTTTATTTCTAGAGGGACTTGTCTCTCACAGTATACGTTGTACTGACTGAAATGGTGACCAAATAGTGCGAAGTGAGAAAACCTACCAGTCAAAATCAAAAAGGTCAAAACTATAATAATATATTACATTAAGTTAAGAATTTGCTACTGAAAAAACATTACAAAATGCTAAATAACAGGACATAGAGCCCTGTTTTTGGGGAAGAAGTACCTCTGTTCTCCTCCATGTCTTCATCTCGAGAGAGTTCTGAAAGTGGGTCCATGGGGGTCTGAAGCACTGCCACACTGTTCTGGTTAATAATCTTCAGTTTTAATTTTGGTTTGGGTTTTCGTCGCCGTGATGCTGCAGCAGACAAACTCTGAAGCTGGCAAAGTCCTGACTCCGTCAGGCAAACACCATCCTGGGTGTAGGTTCTTGACAGATCTGGAGAGAACGTTAATACAAGATTATGTGCTGCTGAAGTGAGCATGCAGCACAGGAATATAACAAAATCTTACTGGTGCACTCAGTCACCCTAAGTATTTTGAATCGTACCTATTTCTTTAGCTCTTGAAGCAGCCTGTGACACAATTAGTGGCTCAGTGGTGTCTCTAATCTTGGTTAGAACTGCAGCAGAAGCAATTTAACATAACAGCAGACACCGGTTACATGTCATTTTGGCATCCATTACATTTAATACACAAATAGCATAAAAATGAATAAATGAAAAGGTATTGAAATGAATCACTGTGCTCCCACCTTTAGTGGTTTTGAAATTGCGGCACATTGTGCAGTCGAAGTTGCTCTCTGCAGCTTTTTCTACGTCTTCCTCAGAGTGAAGATTCTGACAAGAGGCATGAAACCATCTGTGGGGAAGAAAAAAGTAAAAAAAAGTTTAGATCGGTGCCAATTATTACAGAGAATTAAAGGAGACTTGTCCTCCTGAGCTGAAAGCTTCGCAGAAACCCTACACACCTGTCACACTGGCGGCACTGCACGATGATGGTGCCTTCGCTGTAGTCCATCAGACAGGCTGCGCATGTTGTAAGGCTGGCACAGGGTGCACACTGGGTATAATTATTCTGCCAGTCACACCTTAGTCCTGGAGTGGTTGAACCACACTGGGTACAGGCCACACACCTGTAGAAGACGGGGGGACAGACTCCTTAAACCCGGAAAAATTCAGAAGACAAACTTTCCACTGCTGCAAGATTTCTTCCTAATTTAAATAATAGGCGGGGTTAACAGAGTTACTCACCACTTGCACTTCCAGCTCTCCTTGGGGACGTTCTGCAGCGGAGGGTCCAGGCAGTAGGTGTGATAGCTGATGTCACAGTCATCACACAGCAGCAAGCGACCGGGATCTGTGGCTTGGCCACAAGCTTCACACACGGTACACTCCAGGCAGCGCCAGCCTTTACTGAGCACTGCTTTAGTGATCTGGGGAAATTAGGGTGTGGCTTGAGACATGCAACCAGTTCATGCAGAGAAGTTTCTAATAAACAAATGAAGTAAGACTCTTTACCTTTATGCCAACACAGAACGGGTGGTAGCACTGGCCGCACTGAACACAGGCCAAAAGACGGCCCTCTGCACCAAGACCAAAACTCCCACACACTACACACATGTCCTAAAGAAAAACATAAAGAATCATTACACGACTGTAATCTCATAATCTGCATTAACAGGTTTCATCTTTCCTATTAGAAACATTTTCAATTTCAATATTTAAAAAAACAGCTGGGCCGTTACGACATGCAGTAAAATAGATGAAAACCTCAGATTTTTAGTACGATTTCAGAGGGAGAAATCTTTTGAGAAAAACTGTAATCACGAGACCACCCAACACGAAGGTTTTAATCCAAAAACAAATTAATCAGAGGCAAAAAGAAGGTCCACACACCTGTTTGAGTGTGAAACTGTCATTGCTGGAGAAAATGACAACTGTGTTATGCATGGCACTCTCCTCTTCCTCCTTGAGAGGGTATTGTATTTCTACTGTAGTGATCTGCACCAGGGAGAAAAGTGCACAAAAACAAAGTGTTTAATAATAACATTCCTTCAAATAGCCATCAATTGGTTATGAGAAACTAATCTGAATTAATGAGGAAATATTCATTAATAACTAAAGGTTATTATTACAAATGTAATGATTTAAATTACATGTTATTTAATAAGCCATACGACAAAAGATTCCATAGCAAATATGAAATCAACCTTATGGACTTCCACTCAGGGTATGTAGACCGAAAAATGGCGTTGAATGTGTTTATGAATCTCCTAATCAAAGCTTAGCGCGAAGACAACACCTTCAGTTCCCATCAGAACTAATCGCTTCTTCGGATTTGCTGGTTCTGAGCAACATTCCACATCACACCATTCTCTGTCTCATTCACCTTAGTTACACCATACATTTAGTGTTTAAAGTTAGTCTAGTTTAATTTGTTTTTAATAAATCTTTAAACTTTGAAACTCGACTCTCTCTCTTCTGTTGTCTCTGAGTGAAGACGAAGCTGTTATCTAATCCCTGCATTAAAAAGTTCCAATCTTCTGGTTTAAAATAACCTCACAGATCCATAAGGTTGATTTGATATTTGCTATGGAATCTTTTGTCTTATGGCTTATTAAATAACATGTAATTCAAATCATTACACTAACTAACTTATCGCTGCTTACAAACCACCATAATCATCCTCAACTAGAGGAAACACAAGCGTGAGAATGTTGTGGCGTATTTGCAGAAAAGCCACAAAGTTCATACCCCAGGGTTGATGCTGGGGCTGACTCCGTTCTTCCCTCTGGCCCTGCCTCGCCCAGCTCTACCTGACAGACCGGCCCCTCTGGGCCTCCTCCTACCAGGGAAGCCTGAGCCTCGACCCTGTCGAGACACGACAAAAGAGAAACAAACACATCAGATGGTAAAATGACAATCTATGTTTTGAACAATAAAAATAGGCCCACAAAAGCTGTGATTTATTTTCCCACCTTCACACAAACACTCAGGCTGAGCTCTATGAACACATTCCACAGACATTTAAAACCTAAACACCAGTCGGTCACTGCCTGATATGAGGCCACCGTTTGCCATTTAAGACCCAATGGTACAATTATCTCCATCCTGATAAAGGAAATTCGGTTTTGTGAAGCATCGCTGGTTTAGAATCAGATTAAAAGACGATGACTTTACCTGTTTCTCGTGTTGATTCTGTACTACACAATAAGTCAAGTCTTTGCTTGTCCTGGTAGAAAACACCTCTAATCAGGCCTCTAAGCTAACGATGTGTGATGAGAAATAGCAGGCCTAGCCTGTACTTAGATACATCTGTCATTGTCAGCGTTCACTTCTTAATCGTTTCACTTTCGAAGGGCTGTCACAGAAAAACAAGATTTTGTCGCTTAACCAGCAAAAAGTCAAGTAGATTATTTTTCTGTTTGCAATGAAAGCTGTTGTAAGTATATGATAACAAAGAATTACAACCTTTGCACAACACCAACTTTCATCCCTAAAATACATCTTTATGGCTTTTAAAAAAAGTTAAAAACATTTTGAAGAAAACCAAGACACAAATGCTCTTTAGAAGAATAAAATAAAAGTTACCTGATTCTTGACATTTTCCTGACATAAATGACTAGCAGACAGCCATCAATTAAATTGAAAAGGTCTCTGCCAAGTTTCACTGTGCCTCTGGCACTTTTACCTACGGGGGGCCTGAGGCCAATCATGACTGTCAAACATGCATTTGACTCAACCTCCTAAAACCTCCACTAAAACTCCTTCACACTGGGCCAAAATTCACCCTCAGTGATGGAACAACTACAACAGGATTGTCCATGGACTGGAAACTCAACAGAATTAAGCTCAGTCTCAAGCTTAACCAAGAGAAAAACCATCAACTAGCTTTCAAAATCCCCTTGATCAATCACAATAGGGTCAAATTTACTTTTAAGATACAAATCAATTTGTGCGGGTTGCACAAGATTGGAAATGTGCAGAATTTTGCGGTCGACTGTCCATCTCCCTGCCAATCCAATAGAAAGGCTAATGGGATTTAAAAAGCCTCACCTACATCTGTCTGAGACAAAATCATCCATCCAAGTGCAGAACATTTAAGGTGGTTTTCCAGGAGCACTACTCAGCCTAAAACAGCTCTGTGCAGCGTGATTTGAATCAGCTCATCGGAGTGCAGTTTTGTTCCCAAGCCAGCTCCATGACAGAAAGTGGGTGTGCCCTCATAGGTGCGGGGGGGGGTGGGGGGGGGGGGGGGTTGCGCGATATTTACTCGTGACAACAGTGTATGGAAACTTTTTTGCTCTGCAGAAACACAATTTAGCTGAAAAATGGTGGTGTTGCTGGACATTTTGCTCAGTTGTATGGCTTTTGTCAGACTATGAACCAGGAAATGTCTGCAGGCAGTGAAACAGAAAGCAAAAAACTCCAAAGCAACCAGTGACTCCGCCCCCTAGCCAATCGGCGACCAGAATCCCAATGCCGGCCTGGCTCAGCCTTGCCAGTTACCTCAATGGAGCAGGGACTAAAAATAGGGGAGAAAGTAGGGGGAAAATACAGAACCATCCTCTTGGAAACAGTGGCCGGGCCGAGCTGCAACGGTCCGAGTTGCTCTGAGTAGTGTTCCTGGAAAACCAACATTATATTAGGGATGCTCCAATCACATTTTGTTGCCCCCGATCCGATTCAGAGTAATTTGATTTTAAGAATTTGCCGACTCGCGAGTCCTGATCAGATTTTTTAGAAATCTGCATTAAGAAAAAAGGAGAACACACTAGAGTTGTTCTTGGTTATTTTTAATCATTAATGCATTTCTTTCTTTCTGTATTTATATCATGTCTTCTATTTATTTGCCATAAAACATCACTTGATTAGGAAGTATATTAATGAGAAATGTGGTAATGTTAAGAATAAAGGTAAAAGTTGCCTCGCCGATTTTTGGAATTGTTTGCTCAGCGTGTGACTGTTTTCAGCGTCAGGGATGGCACGGCACATGACGGTCAGCAGCGGAGTAACTTTTTTCTACAAAACACCTGTAGAGTTTCTGCGTCTGTAAATGTAGGAAGATAAAGCAGATTATACCGTGACTCAACGAGACTTTAGAAACAGACGTTTGCAACCATAGACGCTCATCCAGTTTGATAAATATGCAGCTATCTTGACATTTTTGCTGTCAGTAAACTATTCCTTGGTTTCTTAATGTATCTTTTGATGTCGGCTGGCTTATCTGAATTGCTGCAGCAAACTGAACAGGGTCAGTTTTTGTAAGGTGGCGCATCAGTGTTGAACGCAGCACTACCTTTTCTACTTTGGTAAATGCCCAGTTTGCACACATTAAATGTGTTTATTACACTCCCCAGTAGCGGTTTTAGGCACGGGCAGACAGGGCAGTTGCCCGGGGCGGCATTTTTTCATGACACAAAAGGGGCGCACAAGCGCTGAGTAAAAAATAAAAAAAAGAAATCTGCGCGGCACCGAGGTTTTCTATTATCTGTCATATGACAGTGTCTGGATTGGAAACAGCAAGTTGGCGCCCCCTGCAGCTGCAGGCGCTCCTGCTGACTGAGAACGTTCACGTGCTCCGTGTGTGTGTGAAGAACAGGAAGGGGAGGGGCGCGGCGGGGGAATTCACCTCTGCGTCTTTCCCAAATGAGAAATGAAATGAAATAAGCGGGTAGGGGCTGAGTCAACTGTATTAACATGGCTAAAGTCAATCACATCTTGATGTTCTTCCATTTAACGCACATTTCATTCATAATATCATAAACACAGGGCTATCATTCTTTCAGGTTTTTCTGAATTGTGTGAAATGACCGAATGAAAAAAGGAAAAACAAAACGATTTTGTGGTCACCCCCCATCAAGGTCAAATAGTTTAGTCCTGACTAAAGGAAACTTACTGAGTCAAGAGCCAAACAGAAGAGATGAACATAAAAAGGCTAAAACCACCAGGTGCCCGATTCAGGAAAAATAAAGAAAAAAAGAGCAGAAAGATAAAGGTATGTAGCTCTCATGATGCATGTTTTCAAGTTTTTAACCAGTTAACTGGGATTTTAACTGTTAAATTCGGTCAACTAATTGCTAACAGAGCTAATAGGGCTAAAATATTGAAATGAATACTCAAATGGTTCGAAAAAATATCCTTAAATCGTTTTTACTGATTCAAACTAGGATTTGTTAAATGCTCGCTGCAGCCTGTGGCCTGTCTGAACAACAACAAACACATGTTGATCATGTTCACATGATAATAAATAAAACAACTACAAGCAGAAGAAAACACCCCAGTCACCACTAACTATCCTGTTTATTTATTGCAGATGGCTGCACTGATTATTTTTACGTGATTTGTTCTGTAAAAGTTGGCATTTTTGGTAGTCTACAGTTTTTTTTATGTCAGTTTAAATTACAATTTCAGAGGCAATTCTAAAATATTATGGATCATGATAAAGATCTATTGGAGATCTACCCCAACTTTTGGACTGCTCTGCCAGTCACTGTGGCTCAAGCTGAGAGGAGCTTTTCAAAACTTGATCAAGTCATACCTGAGGTCAACTATGTTTCAGGGGCGGCTCACTAACCTGGTTCTGATTAGTATCAATCACTCAGTAGGGGAGCAGATTTCATATGATGACATTATTGATGACGTTGCATCAAGGTTAGGTTTTAATTTTAGTTTGTGTTTTCTATTCTAAGTGCAATGCTGTAGTGATTATCTTTAGTTTGTTATGTGTGAAATATTTTTGCTATTTAGAATATTTATAATATATTATGTTACTATATTCTTAATATTTAGTTATTGTTTGTTTTTGTATATTTGATTCTATATATTTTGATACAGTATATAATGTATATTCCCTTACATTCTGACAACTTCATAGTAATTAATGTAAATATGTGCAACTTAGAAAAATGAATGTTCAATAGTCGTTCTAATAAAACATGCCTGTTTGTAGAAAACATGCGTGTGTGTGTGCAGGTGGGGTGGTGGTGGTGGTGTGTGTGGTGGTGGGGGAGGTTGGGGGGGGGCTCAAAGGGGGCCTCGCCCGGGGAGTAATTCCATGTAGAACCGCCACTGACACTCCCAAACATCTTCTGTCTCTTGAGGTGACAAGTACGCTCTGTGTTAGCTAACTGCTACATATTATGGTGCATGAAGTCCTGGACCTTAAATTGTGGGACTTACGGCGTTGTCTGTGAAACAAAAATACTGATGTAGAGGAACTTGTTGAATTTAAAACTAAGCCATTGTTTTTTCCGTTTGAACATTTATTTTTCAGGATGAATTTAAAAAGTAATGTTTCTTATTTTATATGGTTAAATCCGATTTATTTCCCCCACCGATTCTGATTTCCTGAAAATCATGTGATTGGACCTGATATTCAGATAGGGTGACAGTGGGACAGGAGTTAAGTTCTCGTCCCCATAATCGGAATGTTGCAGGTTCGAGCCCCACTCAGTTTGTCGCTGTCATTGTGTCCTTGGGCAAGACACTTAACCCCCTTTGCCTGCTGGTGGTGTTCGGAGGGACCGGTGGTGCCAGTGCTCGGCAGCCTTGCCGCTGTCAGTGCGCCCCAGGGCAGCTGTGGCTACATCATAGCTCATCCCCACCAGCGTGTGAATGTGTGTGTGAATGGGTGGATGACTGATTGTGTTGTAAAGCACCTTGGGGGTTCCAGGACTCTAGAAGGTGCTATATCAAATACAGGCCATCTGATTACGTGATTGGAATTGGAGCATCCCCATATATATATAAAATAGATTATACATGCAGTCAAGGGACACATATCCAGAGACAACACTCCCATTCCGAGGAGAAACTGCTGTTATCCACATTCAGACAAAGGCTCAAAAGGTAAAAGCAAAAGAAATATATAAATTTGAATGATTTTCATGTTGGAAATTATTTTTCTCATTTTGTTGTTATTTGAATGTGGTTATAAAACCAGCATAATAATGCAACACAGGGATGGAGTGTTACTACATACTAGGTATATTAGGCCATTATAGCGGACGGTTTTCTTTCCACCGGCAGCAAAAGTGTAACGCTTTGGACGCGTCCCAGAAGTGAAGGGCCGCTATCATAACATTTTCAGTATTTTTTATGCAAACACATCAAACTCTGCAGTTTAGATTGGGTCAGGCAGGAAATCATACATGAAAGTCGTGTAAAACATCCAGAAACTTCAAAATAAAAGTTCCTTGCAGACTTGCAGACTGAAGTTCCAGGGACTGTCATGCTCTGTGAAACCCCTGTAGCCAATGAAAACAACACAGAAAAGAAACCACAAACTGTTTTGGATACAAGCAGCTGTCTTTCTCCTTGCTTGCTATTGTGTGGACTTCTGAAATCATGCGTGGTGTTGCAAATCTCCTGTGATTTTGTGGCTTTGTGGGACCAGAACTGTGGAACACGTTTGCTCACGTTTTGCGTCTGAAACACTCCAGTTCGGATGTGAATTGAGGGTAAAACACTGCTATTACATTATATGCCGCTTTTATGTCAGACGGAAAGGAGGGGTAAATGTTAGTTTGTTGTGAGTATTGTGCTCAAGTGTGATTTGAAGCGAATCATAAATCAAATTGAAATTGCAATTTCTGTCAGAAGAATCATAATTTCTAAAATCTTGCAGCCACAGAGTGCACCCATGCATCAACTGCTTGATACTAGCATAAAAATGAGTGTGCAATATGACAGACTTGAGCATGGGAACATATCACAAGACTAAAACATTTATGCACACTTTGGATTTTCACATCTATGATCAATCGTTCAACTGCAAACATTTCTTCTACATTTGTGTTCCCATGCATTAATTTGTAGGCTTTGAACGCTTCCTGTTATGGAAATTTTATATTTCATTACTTTAATCCTATTAACAAATGTATTACCTTATGCCTGAAGCATTCTCACACACACACACACACACACACACACACACACACACACACACACACACACACACACACACACACACACACACACACACACACACATTCTTGTTACCTTGCAACTTCCCATACACACACACACACTGCGTCTCCCCCTCATGACCTCTCTCCCATTCACACACACACTTCTGCTTCTTTCCTCATCTCATGTTATAAAATAAACTTGCAAGCAGAATTCGGGGCAGTTGCCACGTTGCTCTGCCACAAATTGCAATTTGGTTTACTCGCCTGTTTATAGTGTCTCCCCTTTTCTCTTCGACCGCAGGAAATGGGTTTATTGATAAACATATTGATAAAATCCCTAACAATTCCCCTTGCTGTAAGGTGGAGGCCAGTTTCTAGTTTGGGCTACAGTATACATCAGTGACCATTAGAAACACTCAGCGAGTGTGCATCACAGAAGGAAGGACAGGGCAGAGGGGGCAGCAGCTGCCTCGCCATCTCTGGAGAGCCACTGTATTTACCACTCGGATGCTCCACCCTGGGCTGCCAGAGGACTGCCTGCTCCTTGGGTCCCACCCCTCTGGCTGGTCTGGTGACCAGGACAAGGGTGAGCTCACTCTGCTATGGGGGCTCCATGCACCCTAAGGTAAGGAGGGATGGGTGAGAGAGTAAGAGAGAGGGAGGGAAGGAGGAGGGCGACAAAATGCAGCAACTTAAAAACAAAGTCAGCAAAGAAATAAAAACATACAAAGAAAGATTTTAAATAAATGCGGTGAGCCTCTAAAATAACCATTTGTGGAAGAACAGGAAAAAAAACTCAAACACATCCATCTAAGCAGGGGAACCAGTCAAAAGTAAATGTGCCAAAACATGTCCAAACTATTTAGCTGCATAATGTGTTAAAGCCAATATTTGCATTTCATGCTGCTACTTTAAAAGCTTTGTTTCAAAAAGCAAAAGGGTTAGTTGAATTTTTAGCAGCAGAAATGGTTAAAGAACCCTAGAGCAAAATTTGCATTTTAGCTAAAGAAGCATGCATATCTAGGACAGAAATATTTATTTTTTACAGGAGCTTTCCCAGAACACATGTAGCTAATTAATTTGAGCCCTGATATTCTTATAAAAGATATACTACCTGTAAAATAACAAGAGGAAAATGTAACTAATCTATCTGCACCAGGATCATTCATAATAAAACACAACCAGGGGCACAAATCCAATTCCTATTATCGCTTTCCTTGGGGTACACATTAAGTAGTTTCAGCACATTGATACCAATAATAAAAAAATCAAATGTTTAACCACTGCGTCCCTCTGCTACTGATGGTGTAATATGTTGGATAATAACTTATGATAATGTTTATTATGAGATGTGATGAATATGATGAAGCATGAAACATGTTTCTGACAAGTGGAAAAAAAAGACTGACGGAAACAGAAACAGATGGTGTTGTCAACTTAGTGGCTTTGTTGCCATTTCTAACAACTTTTAAGACCTCTGTAAAGTTAAAGTCCCATTAGTCATCACAAAATAGTGAAATTACATCTCTGCATTCGATGGCTTAATCTCTTAATCCAACCCAATAAGGCTGAGTGTCAAGCAGGGAGGCATTGGGACCCATTTTTAAAGTCTTTGGTATGACCCAACCGGGATTTGAACCCCGATCCCCCAGTCCCGAAGTAGCCACTCATACCACTAGGCCACTGAGAAGGTAAATATCAACATATTAAAAAAAATAAATAAATAAACGCTTAGTGAAACATCTAGCAACATTTTTGACCACCCTTAGCTACTTCCTGCAGAACGTTGTCATCAATATTCCCTGCAGATAAGCAAAAGACCCAGCCTGCTCTGCATCCGGACCATCCTTCCAGATTCCTGGAAAGGGAATGATCACATTACATCTACTGACCAATCATAAATATTCCTCAGTTGAACTTACCTACTCACAAAACAAGTAATAAGCTAATTAAATGTAAGATTCAGTAAGCCATATCCATATAGGATGTTGAGGAGAAAATGAAGATCGCCACAAGACTTTTTATCAGGAGTACAAGGAGGTGTGAGGTGATGATGTCATCATCATACAAAATAGAAGTTGGCGACATCTTACAAGTTTCTGGGTCAAATTCAGCTACTTTCAGAGGGAGACAGTTGGCAACACTGAATACAGGATGAACTGACAGCAGAACACAATGCTGACAAGAAGTAATTCATACTCAGCAGGGGTATTAATACTGTGACTTAATAACTCGTGTTGTACAACAATGTATGAGGAGTGCACAGGAGTGGAGGAACTATCGTGCTTTTGTTTTAGTACCATGAGGTGCCACTTTACTGAGAAACAGTCAATTCTATAATAAAAAAATAATATCCACAGCTGCTTGAATCACAGCACAGCAACTGAAAAGAATCTAATTTCATTTTGCCAGACCCACGAGAAATCCACACAAAGATACCAGTGGAAACAATATTAAGCTACACTCCTTTGGTTTATTACTTCAGCAGAGTGTAAACCAAGAAGAAAAACCCAGATCATAATTAGCGATCTCTCTGAGGTTCGGTCCAGGGTCCTACCTGTTTCACTCGTGGCCTTCCAGGAGAAAACTTCCTCTTGGTAATGGCGGGTTTTCCCATGCCAATCTTGGGTGTAAATTGTACCAGGGTTGTTGTTGGAATTGTACTGCTGTGGTCACTCAGTGTAGGTAGGATGTGGGTCTGCGGTGGTTCTCTGAGAGGCGGCCCTCTGGCCAGAGAAGTGTGCGAAGGAGAAGAAACCATTTCCACTAATCTCTCCACTGCTGTTTTGAAGGGCTTCCCCTCTGAGGACAAGCCGGAATATGACATTAAAGTCTTGCTGTCCAGTGTAGAGCTCACATCCTGTGATGTAGAAGAAGCCAAAGGCTTAACAGTCTCTGCCAGGTTCATGTGAAACGTACCCTCGTTTCGGTCCTTGTTTGGGTCTTTTGGAGCAGTTTCCAGGAAAGAAGCCCTGACTACATCCAAACTTGAAGGCTGGTATAGCGTGACTTCCATTGGTTGTTCATTGAAAGGTACTGATGTAGTATTCGGTTCTTTGGTAGTTGAGATGATGGGCTTAAAATCCTTTGTGCTGGGGTTGACCACCCCCTGTTCAGGGCAGGTCGCTGTATTTGCTGGTTTGGGCTGCAATGTGATATCCTGTGTCTGTAGTGGCTTTGTAGACTGTTGGGCTGGAATAGATTCCTGGCTTGGAGTGGATGAAGATGCGGGCCTTTCTGTAGAAGTGAGCTGGACTCCGGCTGCTGGTTTTGAGTCTGGAGAAGAAGAAAAAAGTGCAGAGGCTAATTTACCCAAACACCAATACAATAAAATATGCTCAGGGATCAACACCAGTAATGACACAGTTACATCTTCAGTGCACATTCTGTGGATTTGGGTGGAAAAGGCCTTAAAGTTGGGTTTGATACATAAAACATATATATACAATAATTAGCAACAAAGGAAATCTCTGACATACAGATTACATGTACAAACCTGGATTGAATTCTGTTGGAATTTTGTTGATCGAAGGTTCAGTAACCTGTGTATCAACAACATCTGCTTCTCCCGAGGCTTCTAAACAGGAAAAATAACATACAAATTTTAAGTTTATTTTGGACAGAAAACTCAGCTATTAAACAAAGACCCAGAGTGAGGCAAGGCTGAGAACACACTGCAAGTAAAGAAAGGAGAACCAGATAAAAAAAGACCAAAAACATTAAAGATAAAAAAAAGTCCATTAAAAAGTCAATTTAAAGCCTTCAATTACTTTCTGAATGACAAACACAGTGATTTGAAAACAACGAGGTACATTTAATCATAGGCTGTATTTCTTCATGTCTACTATTCTCTAACTCAAGTTTCTTAGTATCCTCTCTCTTAATTTGGTCTTGTATCAAAGCCATCAATGTACTCAAGTTGTCTAGTATGAATAGAACCAGTCATTCCTGGCTATCAGGAATACGCGCGTCGAGCCAATATTCTGCCAGACAGCATCTGACGGTACAGAAAGCCTTAGTCTTAAGGAGGAACCCACTATCTCAATTCACAAGTTCCCATGTCACACTGATCCTGACACACACATGCACCTGCTACGCATCTCTGCCAGGGAAGGGAGTAACCATGGCAACCAACATCCCAGGGACTGTTGTGCTCTGGGCTCATGACTGTGCAGCTTGCAGGTGCTCATCCGGTGCTCATGCCAGAAAGTAAATTAGGGAGATGGGCTTACAACCTTGCTATCAGCTACTGACCACGATAAACACACACACACATTCATTCATTCATTCACTGATTTTTACATCTTCTATACTGACCAAGTTGGTACGTGAAAAAAATACACTGCTTGAGCTTCAACGAAGGTCTGAAGTCAGATTTAAATTATAACAACGAGTCACTATCCTTCCATTCATTTTCCTCCGCTTATCTGGGGCTAGCAGCCTAAGTAAAAGCCCCGACTTCCCTCTCCTCTGGGGGAATCCTAAGGCATTCCCAGGCTAGCTCTGAAACGGAGTCCCTCCAGCGTGTCCTGGGTACTACTTTAGGCCTCGTCCTGGTTGGACGTGCTTGGTAATCCTCACCAGGGAGGCATCCTAACCAGATGCTCAAGCCACCTCAACTGACTCCTCACGATGTGGAGGAGCAGCAAATCTACTTTGGGCCCATCAAAAAGCAGAGACCTGATACTTGGGCCACCAAAACAGATCCCCTCACCACCTTGGCTGTTCCTAGAAATCCTGTTCATATAAGTCATGAAAAGAATTTGAGACTAAGGGCAGCCTTGGCCGAGTCCAACTCTCAACAGAAACCACCCCGACTTACTGCCTGCAATACGGACCAAGCTCTGACACCGGTCATATACGGACCTAACAGACCATATCAAGAGGCCTGTTACCCCATACTCCCGGAATACCCCCATAGGACTCCCAAAGGGCCACGACCTGCTTCAAGTCACATCTGGAGAATCTCAGTCACAAAGCAGCTTCTCTGCTATGCTACTCGCTGGACTTGTGGGATCTTGAAAATGTCGTGTCCCAGAAGCGGCTTGCCGCAGAAATAGAACACAATCCTATCTTTAGCAGCACAGCGAGCTACAGAAGAGGATTAGGGACACTGAAAAGAGAAAAGAAAAGAAAGAATTCTGACTTTTTTCTCAGGATTATTAAAGTCAGAATTCTGAGGAAAAAAGTCAGATTTTTCTTTTTCTTTTTTTTTTCTTTTCAGTGGCCCGAATACTTTCTAGCGAGACGCTTCGGTGACGAGCCTGAAAATGCCCCGGTTTGAATCACCCCCGTAGACTATAATGGATTCTGTTTGAAACAGTAACGTTCCACTGCTGTTCCGCACCACTGATGCTTCCAGTGTAAAGTAGGGGTAAGACATTACCAATAGATGACCATTAAGGTCAAAAATCCCTAGGATCGCAAGCTCCAGCAAAACGACAGCAAATCAGACTCCCTTTTATCACTAGCAACGAGTGAAGAAGTAAATGTGAAAAACAACAACGTTTATGAACGGTGAAAGTTTTGTAACAATTAGTTGAAGGAAACATGGTGTCACCCAAAGACTCAGACCCGCTCCCATGTATTTTAAACCAAATTTTTATGGTTATATGTAACGAAGCCACCAATATTTTTCAACAACTGGGCATCATTTCATTAATTTTCAGCAACGTTTTGTTGGATATTTCCAGAGATGAATAATAAAAACTACACATTGTCACTTTAACATCTCTATGCTTCTTAAAGAGACATTTTTAGGCCTTGTGTGATCTAAAATGGTGTAAAGTACTTTGTTTAGCACCATTGAGTTGGACATTTTGGTTTTGTTGACAATCCTTTCTGCACAGTGTTTGCATGTTTCATTACTTGAGAGATTGCACAGGATTAGAAAAAAATATATCCATAGGAACAACATAATAAAATTTTGTAGTTCTGAAAAAATAAAAACAAACTTTAAAAGCACTGTATATGACAAAACCAATTCACAGCAAAGACCTAGATCATTGTGGTTTCAAGCTAAATGAGATGAAACCACAACATTCTAAATTGCTTGAATTGAAAAAATGTTTAAACAAAAATATTTTTTCCCCTGCTTTCCTGATTTATTTTATCAATTTATGGGGTTATTTTGCCCATGAAAGTGAAGTTTTGGAATGGGAGGGAGGGAGGGAGAGAGAGACAGAGAGAGAGAGAGAGAGAGAGAGACAGAGAGAGAGAGAGAGAGAGAGAGAGAGAGAGAGAGAGAGAGAGAGAGAGAGAGAGAGAGAGAGAGAGAGAGAGGAGAGAGACAGAGAGAGAGAGGTAGCATTTACAATCATGTTTTATTGCTAAATGAGACGATCAGCTGAAACTATTGAGGGAAATGTGTTGAAACTAAATCACAGATGTTCAGCGTTTGAAGCCTGTGTTCATCATATGTTCATGAACAACCAGCATTTAATTTGCGTTAATGAGCTATAACACGGATAGAACTTTGCTATCGTCCAGATTATTTTACTGAAACCAGATGTGTATAACCGATGTGACCCTGTCTTCTTTAGAAGCGTGTCTTCACCCACCTGCAGCCGCTGAGATCAGAAACGGGGATCAGTGCTGAAACCCCATTCGCATATTTCCAGTAGAACATGTTTGCCGAAAGATTTGTGAGATAATCAGATTTTTATTTTATTTCCACAAAATGCTCATTTTAGATTAGATATTACAGAAAACAGGGACGGATTGCCATTAAATTTAAAAGCCGGCCCTCGTTGCTTCCGGGTGAGCGACTTCCAAGTGACGCGTTGGAGACTTACCTAGATGGAGGAACTTCAATTCTCCTAAATATAGACTGTGTGACGTACAACCCCCACACCCATATGACCGAGGTCTTTTAAGGTAGTCAAAATAAAGTGCTATTAACTTATGAACGAACAGACGGTCCACAAACACTCAATGTCTTTAAAAAAAGAAAAGAAAAGCAGGGTAACAACACTTGTAGAAAAGTCAAATAAGACAGATAAAAAAAAAATCATTTGTAAAATGAGACCATCTGTGCCTGGTGAGTGGAACAAGCAGACAGGCTGTGTGAGTCGTAATGAATGAGCCAGCATCGCTCCAAGGCAGGTTAGCAGACAGGGGATCTGTGATATAATCACTATCATGATGCTCCTATCGTTTCTGTGTAGTCAGTAGAGTCGGCTGCCCAAACATGCGTGGGCTGCAATAGCGGCTGCTGCACCCCCTGCCCACTGTAAATGTTCTTGATTTTGCACTCTAGGGCTAGAAGACCTCAAACAAAACCAGCTTTTAGATTAAGATAACATAATAAAACCCCACATGTTTATTTAATTTGCACCAGAGTTAATTACAGAAATACTGTAATGAGTGGAAACACACAGATATGAAAAACGTGTGAATTATAATGTACTACTGGTTGAAAATGCCTTACAAAATAAACTCTCCAGTGTCTAACAATATCAATAATCAACAAGCTTGGTCAAGTCTCACTTTAACAAGAGGCAGTTAAAAAATAATCCTGATGGTTGGACCTGTAATTTATTAGTAATAAGCTTATAAAAATGCAGGATTTGCTGCTGTGACACATAGACAAATAACTTAATGTTTTAAAAGCAAAAGGAGTAGTAAGGGAAGCATTATGGTGTGTTTTTCTCATAATTGTTTTTGTAACAAAGACCTACCAGTACTCTGGTCCAATGTGGCTAACTTCTCCTCCTGGACGGCAACCTGAACAGGCTCTGGATCTGAGTGCAATGGAACAACATGTAATTCCGGTTTGGGGTCATTGTGCATTTCAGAGGACAGCTGAGTGCCAGCTTCTAGGTCTGTGTGCTTTTGAGCCAGCTGTAGGCCAGTCTCAGAGTCTATGTGCATGGAGGCTGGTTCAGGGCTGAGCTCTGGGACGATGTCCATATCCTCGGCCTGAAGCGCCCGCTCTGCAGAAGGAGACCTGCAGTTGGAGCAAACATAGTCCTCCTTGGGGTGGATTTCTCCTTGGCCTGAGTTCTGACGCTCACATTCTAGATGTAGCCACCTGAAAGAAATGCAAAGGAACTCATTGCGTTTTTACACAAATAGTTTATCTTTTCTAAACTGGATTTTTGCTTTTATTTACAGTTGTTCCACACTGTTTGCAAAAGCAGTTAGGCTTACCTCTTACAAGTCTGGCAGAACATTAAGTCTTTTTGATGCTCAGGGTCTAATATGCAAGAGCACATGGGACAGCAGAGAGCAGGGTCCTGGTTTTGGACACAGTTCTCACACAGCAGGCTGGTGTGGTGCCACTGCCCACTGGCTCGTGTTCCACACTGGATGCAAACTCTGCAGTTCTGGGGACAAAAGTCAAATTTTATCAAAATCTCATTAGAACCCCTGCATAGGCCAGTGCTCCATGCACTTAATTTATCCTTCAGTAAGAATCGTATTCTTGAGTTCGACCCCGAGTTGTCCATTTTTAAAACCGGTAGGATGTATTTATTTTACTGGCAAAAAAAAAAAAAAAAAACTCCAAAAGGATAATACATGACATTGAATCTGGTATTCATAAGGTGTCTTCTTTTTTAATCAGCATTTTTGAAAGACATCCCAACTCGAAACAAAACAGCAGAGATAGTGGGGTCAGAGGCCGGGGGCAGGTGTTCAGACGACGTGTGATAGTGTGTGTGTGTGTGTCCAGGTTACATGGTTATGTGCTGAGTCAAGCAAAGAAGCCAAGTGCAAAGGAACCTTCCATCATCTGAAACATCTTCCTTTATGATCTACCCCAACCACCGCAGATACAGTCAGCATGAACACACACAGCTAGGTATTGCATTACTTTCTTAGGGAGGCTGCTGTGAGACTTTTCCTAACCATAATAATAATTAAATAGAAATCTGTAAATGAGGATTTTATCTTGTGAAAGGATATGGAAATCCACCACAAGTTACTTTACCTACAGATCAAAGTAGTTCTGATATATGGTCATCTGACAAAACGAACTCTGAACTATTTGAGATGTTTACCTTACATCTCCACCCGTTGATGGGGAGAGAGTCCATAGGAGGTTGCAGGCAGAAGGTATGGTAGCCTTTGTCACACATGTCACACACCAGCATTTTAGTGTCCTCTCCTGGATTCCTGACAGGACACAGAGACAACTGTGTAAAATAACACTGAGACACAAGAACCTCTTTGGTCTTATTTTAGCTAGGTCAGTGGTGTTCAGTCCTCAGATGTACTAATAAGTAGGGTTGGGCATCGAGAATCAACCATCGATGGGAACCGGTTCCAACTGTTCATTTTTCCCAGAATCGCTCAACGTTTTTTTTTCTGACTCCTAGTTTCGACTCCTAGCGTGCCGACGGAAGAGGAATCCGCAGCTGATCTCCGTGAAAAATAAACATGATCTGCAAATTGTGATCAATGCTTTTCAGAGCTGATCACACCAGCTGTCTGTCTGCAGCACCGAGTTCCCCCCCCCCCCCCCATGCAGCGGCCAAATCTAAACAAACAAACGCGTCTACCGAACTTTTACTCCGTAATATAAACTTTAACTCCTGCAGCGTAGAGGAAACTTGTTAAAAGACGTCAACACGGTGGATTTAATAGAAGCTTTAAAGAACAAACTCTGGATGGTGTGAGGCGAGTTTGTCTCACTGCAGATATAAAAACACACACGGAGCATCAGCAGTCAGACACGTGAGTGTCAGAAGGCTGAACATTAACCTGTAGAATAATTAAAGTCATCATGCTAGAGCAGCTTTCTCTGTGGTGGGCCACACCAGCTTCTGCCACAATAAATAATAATAATAATAATAATAATAATAATAATAATAATAAATCACACACAAAGTTGTGAACATTTTAATTTCCTTTTTGAACTATTTCTGTTGAGAGTTTTAATGTTTAAAATCTGTTAGATTGTTACTGACAGCAGCTACATTTAAGTTTCTGTTCTGACTGCATGATGCTGCAGCATGGAGGTGCAGTTCTCAGTCATCCTGGACACGATCATCCTGAGAGTTTTAGCTGAAAACAGCTGGACGTTTCTGGATATGTTGGAGACATTTAGCCTCTCATCCCAGAGGCTTCTTCCAGACTTTGGTTGTGGTCAGAAACAAACACACTGGTTGTGCTGCAAGTCTTTTTCTTTTTTTCTCCAAAACATGTTTTTGTCTAAATGAAGGTGATGTTATAGTTCATAGAATTAAAATTCATGTTGAAGTTAAGATTATTTCATCAGGTAGGACCTGTGGTTAGCTGGCTCATGTAAAGCATGTCATGTCTTGAAAGAATCGGAATCGAGAATCGATAGCAACCGGAATCGAAACGAGGAATCGGAATCGTTCAAAATCAAACGATGTCCAACCCTACTAATAAGACTGCATTCCTAGAAAAAACTGTGACTGATAAAACTACGTGGACTACTGGTGTTTAAAAATAAATGGAGGGGATTTCAAAGTGACAGAGTCATTAACTGAGTCGATAACAAAATGACTAAAAGTATAGGCTAAATAAATCTGTGCATCTAGTTAAAATATACAAATAAACCTTGGCTCATCTAGCAAAACATCAGATTCAGCAGCAACAGGCTTTATATGCAAATACTAGTTCTGTTAGCAACCAGGCCGGTTAGCCTCAGGTGTGCCAGGGCTGCTGTGCTTCTCGGATAAAGGTCAGAGGGTACACCAACGATGCTTTAGGGCAAAACTTTCAGTCTGCTTTTCACAAAACACTGAAGTAAACAATTCATCTGGGGGGTACAATGATAAGAAAGATAACTGCAAAAAAATGTTTTTTAAAAGGAAAAGAAATTTTTTGTGTAAAGTAGGTGGACTCACTTGCATGTCTGGCAGACTTTGCACTCGGGGCACTGCCAACCTGCCCTTCTCAGAGGGGTCACAGCCATGTCCAGGCACATCCCGTGGTAATGCAGACCACAACTGGTGCAGAAGAGCTGGTCCAGCAGGTCCCCTGGGCTGTCGCATAGCACGCAATTTACTTCATCTACAACTATGGGCAGGTTAATGGAGGAAAAGGTAAGTCAGAAGAACAGTGATTTAGTATTTTTTTCACCAATGAAATAGAGCCATTATTGTTAATTTGACTTAACCTACATTTTTGAATTGCCAATTCAATGTGTTCTGGGCAGAGGAGTGAGAGACTCCTGAAATCCTGAAAGGTCCCGGCAGCCCCTGCACAGGGGTAATGGTATAGTTGGGCACATCCTTCAGCACAGCACTTAATGGATGCTCCAAGGCGCTTACAGTATGCACAGTGCTGTGGAATGAAAGACAGATGTCACAATACACGTAAACCATCAAAACCCCAACAGAAAACCTGCAAATTATGTTCACAAGCTGCTGCTTTTGCCATTTACTATCTATAAATTATAAAAACTTGGATCCCTGGCTCATGATAAAGATCTGTTATGACCCAGGATTCAGCACTTTGATCACTGCGCCAGCACAATCTCATCTAACCTCCATTTTTCTCAGTTCTATGAGTGGGCACCAACAGCCGTTGTGAAAATCAAGTGGCAGAATTGCCATTTGGCTGCATGACCGACGGGCTGCAAGCACAATCAGAGGACTGTGAGCAGCACCACTGCTACCACTAGGAGCCAAACTGACATGAGAGCTTTGCCCTGTTGAGTAGCATGACCTTTTCCATTTCACAGCTGAGGGATCCTCACAGCCTTGTCGACCTTTACCAGTCAGTCTGATCCATCAGCTTCTCTGTGCCTCAATGAAGCGGTCCCTCCCTGCTGCCCTAACACATTAAGGTGGTGTTAACACCCATTACGGATTTTACCCCACCCCTTTGTGCTCACCTTTGTGCTCCCTGAGTCAATGGCTCTGTCCACATTAAGCAGAGATTGTCCCTCGCCCTCACAAACACCATCAGACCACATGGCACAACTCTGATGTGCCCAACATTGCCCTGAGTGACACCAGACAACAAATGTGTGATTAATGACAAATATATATATATAACTTAGCAAATTGTGCTTCGACATCACCAGAGGAAACAATGCTTGAATAGAAAAAGGTGTTAAATAAATGACCGGTCCTACCCGACTCGAAGAGAGACCAGACTTTAAGGTGTTGTGGAAGGCCGACGTGAGAAAGCTCATCCCAGAATCGACTGGCAGGGTCTGGTTCTTCATGGCAGGTTTCAGACCCACTGATAAAAAAGAAAAATGACATTTTCAAAATCTCTTGACCAGAATGGTTAAACATTCAGGACAGAGACTTTTAGGTGGATAACAGTGTGCAGATTTTGCAAAAGCAGAAACGTTAAGACAGAGAGAACGAGGTAGAGGAGAAATGTTAGGAAGCAAATAAAGGCTGTGGGGGAGGGGAAGAGGATGAGGAGGAGGAGGAGGAGGTGGAGGAGGAAAAAGGCCATCTTGTATGGCATGTGTACAAGAGGTTAGCTGTTCTGTCTCATAAAATCTGGGAATGGATAGGCAGAAAATGAGAAGAGGGAGCATTAGCATCTAAAAAGACTCATATTTCAGTAAACAGACTGAAATCCAGGGTTTCATTTTAAACATAATGACACACTCACTGAATATACCCTTACTGTTTACAGTAGAGGATTAATATGCAACAACATTCACCGCATTTTACTGTATCTGTATACCATCTGCAAATAAATAAAAAAATTAACTACCTGCACCTTGGGATTAGGGCTGGACGATTAAAAGCTTCTCGATAAAAAATAAATAAAAATACATCTTACCAATCAATATCAATAATTATTGAAAACTATGAAAAATGTAGATCATACATTTTAAGTGCAGCCCTGGCAATTTTATGTAATTACACTGTGATAAAACAAGTTGTTAGCGTTACCAGGCTTGGTTTTTATCAATTCCCTGCAAATTCCGCAAACCACCATTGTTTGTATTTTGTCAGACTTGTAAGAATTGGGATGCTTTGTAGCAGCAAATGAGTGGAACACTCTACAGAACGCCCTTAAAGGAGTGAATCACTCATTTAATCAATACATTTTGCAATGGTCTCTAGTAGGAATGAATGCCTCGCAATTCATTGTTTGGGGGAAAAATTATACCAGTGCACCCTTTTTAGAAACTAAAAGTTGCCCACATCACAGCTGAGCTTCAGATGAATCTTATTTCCTGATATTTGGACATCTTGTCTCTGATTGGATAACAGCAACGTGACTCTAACACTGACTTGCAACATTGATGTTTTATCTCCACAAATAATACAAAACCTGGAGGACCTTCTGCCATGTGGTGATGTTGTTAATGCTAACGGTTAACTTCTGCTAGCTGAGAAGTCGTCTGCAGTTTCCTGGACGCTAAACCAAAACAGCCTTCCCCATCGTAAGTCAAGATGGGTGAGCACATGAATGTTAAGTGACAGTGTGACGTAGATCTGTGCGGCTCTATAAATCACCATCTATTTTCTATCAGCAGCTAAAGCAGGAGATATGTGTAGGCAACTATTTTCATGTTCAGCCTGCATGAAAAACTCAGAGTGACTGATAATAATCAGAAATAATCATCAAAAATTGGTTTTCAGTGTCCCACACCTTTAAAATGTCTACTCTGACATATCTTACAACCTCCAAATCTAAACCTCATCAGGTTATAATTGACTGCTGCTCCTTTTGACCACTTAGGTCACTCTTATTTACATACTTTCATAGATATATTCACTGATTTTAACATTGATTTCTCTGTATTCCTTTCCTTTTATATGCTTGATTGTGATGAATGAGAACACTTTACCTGCTAAATAGTTTCAATGCTGCCACATAGAAATAGCTTTAACTACAAAAGCCAGGAACCCCGAGAAACATGCCTGATTTCAAAAAGCTGCCAAAAAAGTACAAAAAGAGAAAAACTACCGTAAATCCTCTAATACAGGCCGGTATTCAATTAAAGGCCGGGTCTCCTATTTTGGCCGGTGTCGGAGTCAGTGGAGGTGAATAATGGCCGGTCTCTTATTGTGGCCGGGTGGAATGTAGTAATAAACAAAATGAGCGTCTCAGCGGCAGGGTTATAGTCCCTAAAACAACCAGCAGGAGGCAGTAGAGGTTCACGCAGACCTTTGTTAGGCTTTTTCTTCAATGCTTTGTAACGCTACAGACACCGATCCTCTATCATGCTCCTACCACACAGAGTCACGGTGTCAGTTAACCATGCTAATTCAACCCACTCCACAGAAGACACATCACCTTCCCTGTGGCTTACATAACACTCACACAACACGCAAATCAACACTTAGGAACTAGCAGAATGATAGGAAACACATATAACACAATACCCAGAATGCACCTGGCTTACAACCCCAGTCAGGTCATTACACTATCAAGTTCAAAGAGAACATGCTGATTATGCTGCAGAACACTCTGTGGAGCAGTAGCAGGGGTTGTATGAACTAGTCGACTTCACTATAGTGACTTTTTATGCCTGTCGTCGACTAGTCGCTGTCACGTGATAATGACCGGCAAGATGCAGCCCTCGGAAAAGACAGCAGCCTGCTGTCAGCAGGTGACAAGCTCCTGCGCTCAGGGGGGCAACGCGCTGTGTCAGAGCATAGGTACTGACACGCGATCGTTCATGTCGGTTCATTTTCTTTAATGTTTTCTGTCTTTTATTTGCGCCTGATGTGTTTCGCTGCTGTGGAGCGGGGCACATCACCTTGTCCTCCGACGCACAGATCACTGATGCGGCCGCCAAGCAGGGAGAGCTCCGCTGTTTTCGCGGTCGGTAGATCTGCCTCCTGAGCACGGCCACAATCAGGTGTCGCCACCTCAAAAACTAATTTAACACACGATCGTTCATGTCAGTTCATTTCCTTTAATGTTTTCTGTCTTTTATTTGCGCCTGATGCGTTTTGCTGCATGCTGTGGAGCGGGGCGCTGCGCGCATCACCTTGTCCTCCGACGCAAATTCCACTACCTCCGCTCCGCTCCGCTCCGACACAAACGCCGGAGCAAAATCGGTCCCGTTGTAGTCAATCAGAGCAATTCTACTACTGCGGCCGTGCTCCGGCAGTGCGGCGCCGTGCGCCGCCCTCTGTTCCGGCGTCCGGCAAAAATAGAATCGATCCTATTTTCGCCGGAGCACCTCCGCAGTCAATGGACAGAAATCACAACCGCCCAACAGGAAAAGGAGCAAGCACAACTTCCTTTTTTCACAATAAATCGATAAACAAAAGGCGTTTTTTGTTTCATATGCACAGGTTTAACAACTTTTAACAACTATCAATGGCGGCTGAACTTTAAATGCATAAAAATAAGCCATAAATACAGTTTCTACTGTCAAAGTAGTCGCCCTTTGTTGATCCAAACACTGCTGATCTCTCAACACAAATGATGGGCAGATTAAACAGTTCATTTCGATGCTTCTCCCACACAACGGGTGTTTGGATCTAACTTCCGCGTTTATTGCTCAGACTGTATGATACAGCCGCCAAGCAGGGAGCGCTCCACTGTTTTTGCAGTCGGTAGCTCTTTTAGAACTGCAGTTCAAAGGTAACTCATAAGGTGAATATATATGAACCCAGGTAGCAGTTTTTCTTTAGGATTGAGAGGAGATGCAGGAAGATAATAAACAGGCAGGACAGAAAAATAGTCAAATAAAAACAAGTTAGTTTTTGTACCTGGTGGTTGCAACAAACAGACACCATTGAAGGTAATCAGAAGTGAGGAACAGAAAATGAAATAATTATTTTAATGTTTAGAGCAGCAGGAACTCCGAGAGGCTGCAGGCGCATCAGTGAGTTTGCAGCCGCTGCGCAGGGGGAGGGGGGAGAGGGCTGAAGCAGAAACTACCGTTGTTAAAAGAAATGTGTTTAACTTTGAAAATGTGGGCGCAATTTTAATTGTCAAAAACTCCAGTGAACCATTAGTTCATTTTGCTCAAATAGAAATAGAGGCCTGCCTCTAATACTGGCCCTCCTTCCAATAAAGGCCTGGAGCTTGATGAGCTTGAGTCAAATACAGGCCCGGGCCTGTATTAGAGGATTTACGGTAATAATCTTGTCTCATCTGACAAGTTTCAATCGGAAAAAAATGACCAAAAATCTATAGTGTGGATTTGACTTCAGAATAAAGCTAAAAGGAAACTTTACCTGCAGGAAAAAACGTGTCTGCTTTACTATTTTTAATTTCTTGATCAACACCAACAAGCACACTATTTGTGACACCAGCATTAGGAAGAGTACTCACTGCTTCTGTCCTGAGGTGGTTTCTCCAGGCTGAGCCGCTTCGTCACCATCGGTGCCATCGCTTGTCAAGCCTCCTTCCCCATTATGGCTGACGAGTGTTTCATGCTGAGATGTGGAGCTGAACACTTGCAGATCCCCCTGACCCAGAAGGCTATAACCACCGCAGTAACAGAAGGCACAGACACTGAAAGCAGCAAAAAGGGTGGTAAGGGGTTTTTAATTATATATACCCATTGTGACTAAATGCAGTGCAATGCATGTCACTGTGAATTAAGGCCTCCATCTTATGGCATCAGGCCAGAAAGTGGTGAGATGCAGAAACTCAGAGCCTGTTTGTAAGGGAGGTTAGCACATGGCATTAACTCATGACATAAAAAGTTTAACTGCATACAGCTTTTCTTTTTTATTTGTACTAAAAGGATAAATATGTGTGTTGTTCATGCTTTATTTAATCCTTCTAAAACCTTTGAAATAGACACCTTAGAAATATATCTGTAAATGCTTCTGATCATTTCAAATCAAAGGCATGTTGAAATTGTTTCAACGGTCCCAGGAGGTACTGCTGAGCTGCTCTCCTTCGATGACATCACAGGCATGCCAGATGACTGATTGCAACCTTTTACAAAGTGGCACCTGCATCTACCAGCTAATGACTTTTATGTGTGTACACACATTAGTACTGCATTACAACGTCGGCCAAAACATCCACACATACATGCATGCATGCGTGCATGCATGGCTAAAGCACGTGGCTCCTTGCTTATAAAACAAGTTTAATGTTTCTGACCTGCTTTTGATTTCTCTACTTGCTGGGACTGATGGTCCTGCTGAACTATCTGCTGGAGGGCTCTGGGCCAGAGGGGAAGAGGGCTTGTCCTCCTCTGGCACCTCAGTGGTCACCACTTCCACAGTCTCCTCCTGCTGGATCTGTGTTTCTGCAACAGCAAAAACAAACGACAAATTAGTTGGTTAAGTCATCGTTACTCAAATAAACCAGACGTCCAGGCACAAATTACAACCGTGGAAAACGCTTCACCATCAAAGCACAAGATGGTGACACAGGAAATCATATATCATTATTTGTGTTTGTGAGGAAACAGCCACATCTTCCCTGCAAACACAGTATAAGATTCAGCTGCATTGATATCACGTACAAGACCGTAAATTTATTTTTCATCAAAAACCCTGAAGCCAGATGGAGCCGCTGAGAGAACAAAAACCCATTTTTACCCCCCCCCCCCCCCCCAAAAAAAAGGTAGAACACCATAAAATAACAGCAAACCACATACAGTATACTAGGCACAGCAATAGGCAAGCACTGACAGGTATGAGAATGGGAGCCACAGTCACATGATGTGATGTACACATAAAAAAAGCACATAAATGGGTCTGGAGAGACTGATGGGATTTTAAAAAGCTTTTAGAGGGCATTAGCCTTGGGCTCTTTCCCACTACTCCTCAATGCCAATCTCTGAGCAAGAGGAGAGATGGAAGTGGTGACGGGTTGAAAAAAAATAATATACACCCAACGTAGCTTCACAGTTCAATTTAAACTCTTTCAATTACAGCCCTAAAGATGAAGCATGGGGTGCGAAGAAAAAACTCTCATCCCCGGCTCTCCAGCAGAGACGACGCTGCTGTTACTGAAACTCTCTGAAACACTTATTGCATGAGGTTGCTTGGGTGTGGGAGCTCAGTAAGACTCAATAAAACCCAATGTGTGTATAATAGATCAAGAAGGGGTCTACAAAGTCTCACCTGCATCCTGAGGATCCGTGGACTCTGTTATCTCAGTACTGTCCATACTGTCCTCCTCATCCACAACAACCCTCCCTCTGGTGCGACCCCTAGAGTGAGGAAGAGGCACAAACAAACGAGGAAGTGAAAATGGAAAAACTGTCAGATATTCACCTCAGGAGGGGAGGGTGGTGATGTAGTCATGAATTAGTTAAATATAGTTACAGTGGCCAGCGATTATTAATGGAGGGACTTAAGCCATGGGCAAGGCAGAACGTTGGTGGTGGTAACAGGGGGTGTAACAGTAATACAGCTACCAGGGTCTTGATAAAATAACATTATTACTGAAGTCAGAATGAAACCACTGAGTGACTCCTCTATAAATGAAGACAATCAGAGTTACAACACCAAACCTCTAAGCTAAAGGTAATGGCAACGATCAATTCAGTAAGATGCAGTTTAAAAAACTAATGCCATGGAAGCTAATTAGCATCTCATAACTCATGCCATTTATGGAACTATTTAATACCAATTTCATAAAAGGTTCTGATCTCAAAGCACAGAAAAATAAAAAGGTATTGGTAAGGTTTTCTGAATAGGTTTCATAAAATAGGTAATGACCCACTTGAGCCCTTTACAGACAGACATTCTGGAATATTTGCGGACAATTCAATCCGGTTTTTAACCGGAACTGTGTTTTCAGACACACCACTTTTGTACCGGAACTTGTCCTTTCGGCTGCGTTCACACAGCAGGGAAAAGTTCCAGATGTCTGACGGTGGCAGGGGTGGGGTGGGGGGGGGTGGGGGAGAATCGGACTTATGTTAAGAAGAAGAAGAAGAAGAAAATATCATTTCTATAGCGCCCCTCAAGATAAAAATCACGAGGCGCTTAAGCATAATTCTGCGCACACGAAGACGCATAAGAGACCTGGATGATGAAGCTCAATGGTTAAAGGAATCACTGAAGCGGTGTGAAGCGCTCCGTCGCGCGTCTAGGCGGTACCGTAGGAGGCGAGCTGCCGTGGTTCGCCGCATGCTACAGCAGCGGGCTATCTAGGTGCACACAGCGTCCCCCAGTCCCCTCCTCCTCCCCCCTCCCCCTTGTCCGGAACTCTACCTCACTAGTCTGAAGCAGCCACCCTGTCCGTAACAAGTCCGGACCTGTTACTAGGGGCTTCGTCCGGATAAATTCCGGAACACGTTATCCGGATGTTTGTATTCAGACAGAAAGGTCTTACGGACAGATTCCGGAACATTTCCGTTTTTCATGGCCTGTCTGAAGGGGGCTTTAGTTTCACAGATGTGCAATTTTCAGTCATTTACATCTGTGCAGCAAAACGCTTCTGAATGTTTCAAAAAATACAAATGGAAATCAACAAATGAGGGAAATTGGTGAGGGAAATTGGGGGGAGATCACAAAAATAATTAAAGGGTGTACAAGAATCCCCTTCTAGACTAGGGCTGCAACTAACGACTATTTTAATAGTCGACAAGTCACCGACTATTGAAACGATTAGTCGACTAATCGGATAATTATTAAATTTTCTTAAATTTAGCATGAGATTGCTTTAATTGTGTGAAAAACGATAATAAACACAAGAACGATGGGTACTTCAATGGAAAATGCATATTTTATTGAACTTTGCTACTGATAGACCAATTCATACTAAAAGTAAATAAAAATGTCCTGTCTAACACCAATTAGGCACAGTGCCCAGTCAGTACAGACATATATGCATAAATAAAATTAAAATACTTTTGTCAGGCACAGTCAGGCATAACATTAAATTTCTCTTTTTTAAAAGTGAAAATCTGTTTAAGAAATGAACAAAGTACATCCAAAACAAAACAATAACCTTTCGTGTTATTTAAATCTTACCGAAGTGAGTCAGACTCTGTTTCATTCAACTGTCCGACATGCTTTCTCTTTAAGTGTTCATGCATCACCGAGGTGCTGCCGTGATACGCAAGGACTGCTTTACAAATAATGCAGGTAATCTTTCTATTTGCCGAATCCAGGCTAGAATGCTCCTAAACTTTAGATGTTTTGGTACGCAAAGCTGCTGCGTTGGACGCCACCATTTCTGTTAGCTGGCAACAACGTCAACGAATCGTTGCAGCCCTATTCTAGACTTGCAGAAAGAGAGAATGAGAGACAAAAAAGGGACACGCAAAATATAACAAAACCAAGATCCACTGCACCAAACAACATAAGGATATATAACAGTAACATTTGCTGAAAAGCACACAGTAATAATTCATTGTGCACTTAGAACCAACCACAGCCCTAGGTAATGTGTCAAAAACACCCATGTCCATTTTTGTGAGAGCACCATGTGAGCACCTGTGTGCATACACCGGTTTGTGTATGCAAGGTTTCTGTATAGGAGTGGCCAATAGTGACTGTCAGGAACCACAGACCTGCCCCCGAAGACCCCTGGAAGAAATGGAGGAGATCCAAGCCCCAGACATCCAGAGGCCCCTCCAAAGCATGGAAACCCCTGACACCGCTGTAGGATGTCACAGGTGGCTAGGGTGCTACTTCATTTAAATACGTCAACAGCACCACCATTCTTTCTTACAACAATAAAAAGAGTGGCAAAGATTTCTAGTGGCAGAAACAGAGCAGGCTGAAGATGCACCCGTGACTGAAGGAGAACAAAGATATGCAGCAAACTTTTTATTTGTGGAAGGAGATTAAGAGAAACGTGGTTTTAGAGGTGGCGGACTGCATGAAGAGGTGGAGGAGAATGAGGGACAAAACCTGTGCATGTTAAAAAGTCTCTGTAATACGTAGGCCCATGCTAGTAAATACACTATTGTGGACCAGAGACCCCAAGAAAAGTGCTATGCCCTCTGTTGTCCTTGTGGGGAATTGCATTGAAACACTTCCCAGCCAATCGAGAAGTGTGGAAGGAAAATGGCTCATGCCTGTGTGCAACTTTGCAACTGAACTGATGAAAAGGTATACATCTGGCATTACACAATCAACAGAAAGCTAGGGTTAGCCTGAACATAAGGCAGGAATTATCGTTTTGCAAACATTAATTAACTTCAGCTTCATTCACAAAAAAATAATAAAAATTCAATATCTGCATATCAAGTCTACTTTTTCAATCCTACATGTCTGACTTTCTACTTGTAGAGCTGTCCACCAACAAATAACCAATCTTTTCTTAGTGTGGAGAGATCTTTCACTAACCAGCCTTCTCCAATGAGATCTGAGATAACCTAATTTTTGGAAGTAGCATGTTCGAGGATAATTATCATGGATACAAATTAAATAGCAACATCAACTGTTAGCATGCTAAATGGGAAGAGCCAACATCTCAAATGAGAGCAACGTGTCTCTGGGGTACTCGGGAGGATACACGGGGTTGGAAGCGAGGGAGGAGATTGGGGGCGGTGGGGTAATTTTCAGTGCCACTGGAGAGAGAAATCACAAATGGCTGTAAGCCAAATCAACCCCTCCCTCTAAATGACTTCCATGGGAAGCCAACCTAATACACAAGAATGACAGCAGAGGCCTCTAGCAAACTTTGGCTGAAAACATAAGTACCTAATAGCCTGAACCGCTCACAGTACAGAAATGAATAAATTAAAAACAACCACAATTAATTTGTTCTACAAAATGAAGGCTGTTTTCATGAAGGTTTTAGTCAGAAATTTATATTTAGCAAAGTCTGAAACAAGCCTAACTAAACCTCAAAAAACTGAATAAACACAATTTAATTACACAAAATTTTCAATCCACATATTTAATTAGAGCCCCTAAAAGGATATTAGGTTTTGGTATGTTTGAAAATAAACTCCTGAATTCTATGTAAAATCAGTCCTGCTTAAATGTATCTGTCACAAAGAGCAGTGGCAGGACTTTACCAACACGACTGCTGAGTGAAAATCTATAAAAGAAGTTCTTTCTAGTACAGCATCACAGACATTGTAGTCAAGCCAGTAACGCACAGCTGAATCACTTTATTAAATTAATGTGCAGTTTGCTACTATGTGCTGAATGGAAATTCAAATGTCAAGCCGATAGTATCGGCAAATACGTTAGCGAAAAAATAAAGTGGGACAACCCAAAGTACAGCAGCATCCTAAATATTCACCTGTGGTAAATGAAATCCAATAATTATTACATGACTGTCTCTATCGTACTGCAGATGTCAACAGTGAGTTGAAGTCCCAGTGTAAACTATTATAAAGTATTTGTATTTTGGACAAAAATATGTTAAAATAAATCAAAATAAAAGAAGCATTAGCAAAAAAGGACAAACAACATAAAACAAATAAAACAAAGGAAATAAATCTTAAATGCAAAATGTTCGGAAGCCATTTTATAAGGGCTTTTTTTTAAGATACCTTGAACATGTCTCTAGCCCATAACGTGGCTTCATAGAGACAAACGAGACATACAGTCACACTCACACACACCTAGTCATGTTTTTGTCTCAAACTGACCTAGCATGCAAGTGTTGGCCTATGGGAGGAAAACAAAACACCTGGAGAAAACACATCCATGTTGCCGGGTTTGGAACCTGCAACCTTCTTGCCAAATGGCAACAGCCCTATCAACTGGATAACCTTGAAGCCTTCAGATACCACTATCATTAAAGTGAAATCCTTGAACTACTCTTTTTATTAAATTCTCAATAGGGACAATTGTTCATATTATTTAAAATAGGATGGTAAAAAGGGTTTTTAAACTGAGAGTTGATTTAATCTTGATTTACTAATAAAAATGGATAGTAACAGTAAATAATTTTTGAGTCATTCATATTAGCAGCTAGCCTAGTGAACTAGACCAAATTCTTTCTTTGCAAAGTTTGGTCTAGGCATGCTCCATTGGAACCTCCGCAGCTCCTACCAGGACTCTGGCTAGCCAATCACAGCTCTCTCTAGAGGGGTTTCAAACACATAAAGAGCTGTGATTGGTCCATAATGGTGGGCCAATCATAGTGCTTTATCTGCTTAGTGAACAAATCACAGAGCTTTATCCACTTTATGGGCCAATCAGGGCACTCTATATGCCTGGTGGGTGGGATGATGCAACAGAGTGAAACAAGAGGATGTCACATTCATTGTCCAGTGGAATGCGCAGATCATTTGAAAGACAATGGTAGAACCCGCCCCACAACCGAGAGCCGTCAATGGAGCGTGGCCAGACTAAATAATACATTTATTTAGTCTGGCTTGCCAGGCTAATTAGCAGCCTGACCCAAACATGGGTTTTTCTGTTGCCGATGTCGATACGTAAAGGTCACGGTCAGCTGACGGCTGATGCCAAGACTTTGGGCCAAATTTCACAGTTGATATTTGGGTATTTTACGCCTTATGTGTAAGCTAAAATGTCACTAACAAAACATTTAACCAAAGATAATCAAAGAGATCAATAAACTGGCTAAGACAGGTAGTGGATGCAGAACGTATTCAGACTCCCGTTAGTTTTTCACTCTTTGGCAAATTGCAGCTATTTGCTAAAATCCGTTACATTCATTTTTTCCTCATCAATGTACACGCAGCACCCCATATTGATAGAAAATCACAGAATTTTAGAAATGTATGCAGATTATTTAAAAAGAAAAACTGTAATATCGCAAGGTCCGAAGTATTCAGACCATTTCCTCAGTATTTAGTAGAAGCCCATTTTGAGCTAACACAGCCATGAGTCTTCTTGGTAAAGATGCAACAAGTTTCTTACACCTGGATTTGGGGACCCTCTGCCATTGCTCCTTGCAGATCCTCTCCAGTTCTGTCAGGTTGGATGGTGAACGTTGGTGGAAAGCCATTTTTAGGTCTCTCCAGAGATGCTCAAATGGAGTTAAGTCAGGGCTCTGGCTGGGCAGTTCAAGAACAGTCACAGAGTTGCAGTGAAGCCATTTCGTTAGCTGTGTGCTTAGGGTCATTGCCATGTTGGAAGGTAAACCTTCGGCCCAGCCTGAGTTCCTGAGCACTTTGGAGAAGGTTCTTGTCTAGGGTATCACTGTACTTGGCCGCATTCATCGTTTCCACAATTGCAACCAGTCATCCTGTCCCTGCAGCTGAAAAACACCCTCAAAGCACGATGCTGCCACTGCCATGCTTCACTGTGGGGACTGTATTGGACAAGTGATGAGCATTGCCTGGGTTTCTCCACACACACCACTTAGAAA